CAACCGCAGGCTGGTGGCTGTGACAGAAAGCAGGATAATGCGTCTTATGCCCATTGAGCTCTCTGCCTAATGAGGTCCGTCACGCATTAAGCCCACAACCCGCGAGTTCACAAATCGCTAACTATGTAACGCAACCAACGAGACGAACAAAAAACCTTTTGAAGATCATCCTTTCTCACATTTTCATCAAAGTATATCTGCTAACTAAGACTCGTTAATATTGTGCCACAGCGTTAAATTTGTTTTGAAAAAATCATTTCAAGCGAAGAAGCAAATGTAAAGAATATAAATTAACTATTGTAAATTTGTTATTCTTTATTTGTCTGTATGAGAAGATAAATTGAAAACAATTCTGACTGCAGTGATCCCAATTATTCGGCCGGTTTTGCTCGGAAAACATCAGAATTAATTTGCGCTGCATTGTTTGTTGGTGAATTAGAAGCACATTGATTTGGAGTTTGAAGTGTGGTCGCAATTTAGACAAGCATATTGGGCGGCATTGTGCTACGGCGTTCGATCGGTGCGTCGACATTATTGGGCGTCTTTGAGCGCCGCACCCGGGTCCGCACATTGTGTCCGGCAGATACTCATTTGTCAATAGGTTTGTCAATTGCGCGAACAGCTATAATTCCCTGAATGTTTCCGCATACAACGCGACATAATCAGAACGTGTACCGTCATCACACCGGGCACCTATCCAGTCAGTTAATCTACGATACTTACTTACAAATAAACGCAATATACGAGTACACGCGACTACTTAAAAATACGTTTTTGAAGTTGTGGAAGTCTACAATGCTAAGCATAGACATTGCATTTGAACTATTATCGAATAAGAGAAGTTAGCATTACCAAATATCATTGAACAACTGTAAAGTTTAAAATTAATTACTTACAAACAACTGTATAACTTGAGGCGTTCGCATAACTCCTCTTTAAATACCGATTCCGTTTGGGTCTCTCGAATATTGAGATAAACTAACACCTATACAATTCGTTTGCATTTCCAAAACTAAGTAGAAAATTTATTATTTTTAATGTAATTTGATCTTATTCTTTTGATAAAGTTTTAAATCAATGATAATTAACACCTTAATGTAGCAATATTTGTTAATTTTAAGACCCTGTATTCTCTAACAAAGTTTTAGGCAGACAATTCGCTGCATTTTGCTGAAGGGATCAGCATTGCCATTTGGGGTTCGATTATTAACACGATAATGAAATTAACACGACAGCCATAACCGTCTATTACTTCGACGTGCATATTAGAATTTAGTTTGATTTGTACGTGGATTTAGAACTATTCTAAGCCTAATCCAACTACGTAATAGTATGGTAATGTTCAATATTTCTAAAAAAACTTGGATTTAGATAGATATTAAATATTAACTAGTTTTAGAGAAATTGCACTACGTATATTATTTAGTACGTTTATGTCAAACCAAAAATTGGGTCATTTCGACGTTAGACGTGTAGAGTAAACTAAAAACGTATAGTGCTTTCAGAATGCAGAATGGAACCACAAGATGAAAATGTTCTAGTATGGTTTGATTTTTTTCTTTGCTGGTTTGCTTACTGTCTTAGAGTCTGCATTTTCTTCTTTCGTACACACCAAAGTCTTGTTACTTGGAAAAACGGCTGCACAACACATCCCCGGAAGCATTGGCGTGTTTGCCAATGAAATGCGCTTGCTATATTTTCTACCGAGAATAAAGAAGATGCCATAGAATGGCAGCTACAAACAAAAAGCAACCTTGAGACCAAACTGGATCAACTAATATTTTCTTCCGGATGACCTTATTTTTATCACCATAACACTTAAATACCACCGGAATAGAAAGCTTTTGAATTATCATAATTTAACTCTATTAGTGTTCGTTTTTCCCAAACAATCCTGAAACAATAAGCGCAATGTATCTAAAGGAACGTGTTGCAAAACATCAAAGTTTATCGGACGAAAACAAGTTGTAAAAAACTCAAAGTTATATATATGTGTGAGCGAAATGAGCATGATATTCTGGCAAATATCATAAAAAATGGATTCAGTTCATATCGATGCAGTCGCCCTTCGCTAAATATAGCGTGGCGACAGTAGTAAACGATAGCAAACGCTGACGCCGAATGTAAGACAAACAAATCTATAAATCTAATAAATTTCCGGTCGCTACACTTACCGGGCAACTCAGCAATTTTATGATATACAAACTTTTGAAATATATCGATGTCTATTTACTTAACATGGTTGTTTTGCAAAATTCTAACATTTGTCAAATTTGCTCGTGTCTACAAGACATAAAAAACAGTGAAAAACTAATCAGTTTGCACGAGCCAAAGACATAATTCAAAGCGTCGACATGTCAGCTAAAAATGATCTATGCCTTTAATTAATATCGGAGGCCGCGGCACAACGCCGCAAGTAAGTCCACCTTATCAACGCTCGGTGCGGCGGTAGTGGTGGCGGTGAAGGCGACAGCCGCGCGCGGTTGGGTGTCGAAAATCGGCTGCATGCACCTCTTAGGCCCCGCAAAGGCATTTTAATTTAATCATGTCTTCTTGCTTCCATAGGTTTGTGCCAGCTGGGTTTTGAAAATACCGCAGTTTTGGCAACATGTGTACCTAAAATGTTTACAAAAATTGTGAAAATTATATGTAAAAATTGATATTCATATATTCAATTTCCAACGTTATATAGCTACGGAATCTTTGCTATTTTATATAAAATAGTTCATTTTCCGGAGCAATGAAACGCAAATACCAGTCATCTTCATACAGTGTCACCCGGTTGTAGGACATGATTTTTTGTGATTTAAGTCGTGCATATTGCGCGCCTCTAACTTAAACATTGTCCGAGGTAATAAAACAAAATTGAATGCATAATATACGCGTCTGCGTGGAGTTGTTGCAAATGAGTCGCAGACGAAATGATTCCTTGGCGTTGGGAGTCCCGGTACGCAAAGCACTCGTTTATTTTCGCTCCGCTCGTAAAATATGATTTGCACCGCTGGCGAAGCGACTAACGAAAATCCACGATCACGAGATGCTCGTATGCAAACTGGCTATGTATCAACATCTACGCTTTATTGTGGTGTGCACTCGTTATTCAACTGTAATTTTTTTAAATTAAAATAAATTGTGAATGTGTGATCAATTTGGGCAATAAAGTAGTGGAAAAGTTATATCGTGAAAGATAATTTGAAATTAAATAACTTTTTTCGCTCATGGTGCGCCGAATGAGTAAAATTTGTAATTCTGTCGTATCGAAAGCACTTTTTGTTCAAGTAGTGATCGTGATTTACGACGGCCGGTGGCGCATCACGCGGTTGGAAGCACATCGCACTTACTTAATGTAATATTTAATAACCAGTCTGAAACGCTATTCCCAGTAAACCCAAGAATTGTATGCCCCACTCAAGGTTTTCAATTCGCGGGAGCCTAGAGAGAAACTTCGTTTCGTGTTCTGAGTTGTACTACCATTCTATTTGTTTTTGTGGTTTGGTTATTAGTTCGTTTTCTAGGAAAAGAAGTTCTCTTTTGCATTGTAAAAATAAAGAGGATTTTCGTATTTACATTTACATCAATCGATATAAAAATGTTTGAAGTTGTATTTGCATTTTAAATATAAAACAGTTGTCTGTGTGTTTATAAATAAAATAATAACCTGTTGAGCTTGAAGGTATTCGGCAATATTGCAATTCTTCTCTAGTAAACTGTTGTATTGAGGAAAAATTAATATCATGAATAGAATGACTGTAATTTTGTTTAATTTATTACCAATTAGGTATTAAAGACATCAAAATACTCAAAAGTAGAGTGGTACTAAAAATTCGTGTTTCGTGAAATGCAGAAAGACACGTCAGACACATACATTATTTAAATATTGAACAGACGGATTTTCTGCAAATACACGCCAATATCAGGTTTGACGTCCCCTTAGCTCTCACAAAATCGACGTCCGTTTCAATGTTCGGCGTTCAACTTGGTTGCGTATACAAATATACGCAATATGCGCATGCATTCCGAAATAGAATCTCGACGCATAAATCGGATTCAGCATACAGAACGGAAAACTGCTAAAAGGGGTGTATTCAAAACCTTTGAGCAAATAAGTTAAAATCTTTATTGCGATTTATATCTAAAATAAAATTGAGGTAAATGAATAATATTCTTATTAGCGTTTTCGTTAAATTAAGAAAATTATTTAAACTTAAGAAGTCCTCTTTGGAACTACGTATGTCCTGGTAGTGTTTGCGTATGTAAGTAACATTCGGTATCTTTATCCTTCCAACCGCAGAACGATCTGTCGCATATAGAATCGTAGACCCATCAGGAGAACGTCTGCTTTATATACGTCGAAGGGCACAGAGCACCTAAGGCAAACACGACAGCGCCGGGTGACAAGGGAATAGCAACAAGCAACAAGCAGAAGCACTCGCAGCTTTTCTTATCATGACAAACACTTTCATTGTACATTTCTATTAGGGTTATTTGGTGTGAATTATTATGTAAAGTAAATGTAAACAATTGTATGTGATTGTCATTTGCAATACGGATGACCATAATTTGATTCTGGATGTTTTTAATTAAACATCTTCATTGATGCAACTGTGACTTTGTATGTAACCAACGAATGCATAACCGAAACGTTAACATGAATCCAATTTATTTCTGCTTTGTATTCAACGTCATCTAGATAGAGAGTAACTTCGTTTGTTAAGGCTGAGATGTGCATCGACTTGGATGTTTTACATAGCTATAATGCAACTCTGCAACTACCTGTCATCAATATGAATGATTTTGAGCCACATTGATCAATATTCTTTCAAGACTGACTACAAGGCAACGGCTAAAATGCATCATGTGGTTGTCAAGAAGAACTTGTCATTTACTATAATAATTAATACAAACCTGTTCCTGGCATTTCTTTTGTTGTGTCGCTCACAACATTGTATTGTAGCAGAATACCAAATATGTTTTCTTAATATATTTCTTTTCTGTTTCAGAAGCTACAGTTTCCAATAGGTTTGTAAGTTTATATTTAAATTAGTATACTGATAAATTATTTCTCTTATTTCAGGTAAAGGTCAGGAAAAAGGTATGTGTATTAAAATTAAAATTAAATTTAAAATATTATTAATTTAATTTACCATCACAAAACTTTAAATCGAAATCCATATAGTGAGTATATAAATAAAACTTAATTTAATATTATAAAGTAGCTAGAAAATCTTTAACTTCGTTTAAGTTTTGAATAAGTCGTTTGGCTTGCGCTGACTGATCCTAAAATAAAAATTAAATATTTTAGAGTAAATTATTGTAGGTATTTAAGAATTTTTAAAATATTAAACCATGAAATTATTGAACACTTACTTGGGCGCCATTATCTTCAAAAAATACAACTTTGGCTTTCTTCTGGCCTGATGCTTTCCTTGCAGAATTGAACATTCTTTTTTGCATGCTCGCTCCTGGCGTAGAAGTGAAGTTGGCTCCTTTGGCAAAGCTTTTCTGAACATTAGGTGTATGAATTCTGGGCATTGTATTTAATGGTTGCATATTGATTGTTGTATCTCCAACATTTTCGCTGCTTTCGTCCCCTTTAGTACAAGCAAATTTACGCAACACTTTCTTAAAAGTTTTCCGGCAACTAAAAGTAATAGATTTGCCGTTGGATTCACGAGTTTGTTCAGCGGCATCCTCTAACCGCAGATATGGTATATTATTAGACCCAACAGGATTGACATTGTTGTTTAGCATTGACTGATATGCATGTGAAAAGTCATTGCTGCAAATTGTTGAGTTATTAGTGTGCACAAAATCACTATCATTAATGAGGGTTATCCCAGATCCATCGTTTATATCAACTGTTTTGTTGGAGTCCACAATCTTTTTCAGAAATTTGTTCTCATCCTTAGCGTCGTTATATTTGTTGAGTAAGTCATCATATAAATATTTTTCAATTACCTGTTTCTCATCATTATTGTGATTTTCTGGGTGACATTTTTTGTCTGTTTCATATTGAATTTGTTCCAATCGACGTCTTTGACGTCCTGCTTCATCTAGATCTTTCATATCTTTAATATATTTCCGCACCTTGCTTTCCACATGTGCATATTTAATACTAGTCTAAAAGGCAGTATTGATAATTGTGTGAATCTAAAATTTAAATAATATTCTTACCATTTTATAAAATTGTATTTGACATCAAAATGAATATAAGGTGCAAAACGTGGTATACATCTTATCAAAAATATTGAAGGAGACAACAATATCTGGTTTCAAATGAAACAAACAGTTGGCAACACTTCTAAAATTTTTAAAATAAAATGTGTGCCGTTCTTTTCAAAGTTGTTTTATGCACCTTGCTTAAAATTGTAAGTTTTCTTCAGATTCTATTAGCGCGAGAGTTGATTTCAACGTTACGTTGGTGCCGCTCGGGAAAATAATGCGTAAATGCCTTAAAATCGCTCTGCAAATTCTGCAATTTTCCACATTTTTCAAGTTTTTATCATGGAAATCGGGTTATATCTCAAAAACTCTTCGGAGTATTTGTATGTTTTCTTTAGATTCCGATAGTGCGAGAGTCGATCTCAACGACAAGCTAGCGCAACCCTCAGAAATCATGAATATTTAATGTTTCTTTGAACACTATATTTGTTGTATACCATTGTAGAATATTGTAATGTTTTGTTTTCAACTCTTCTCGTTTATCAGTGTTTGTGTACAGGTATAAAAAAACTTATCTATTGAACCCGACTCATGCTACGCTCGTGCTACGAACGTTCTATCACTTTAGTCGGTTCTAACCTGCACGCGGCTCAGCATCTTTCGTTCATTCATCTCGGTTAAATTAATTGCATTCCATTCTATCGATTGTAATCGGCATAAATATCGGAAGTTAATGACAATAGGCGGGTACAGTGTTTTGCTAACAATGATTTACACGTGAAATGATTATAAAACTCGTGTTTTTATCTGTGCATTAGTGACCCTACGGTTATTGGATTATTACGATGCTGGGAATTGCAATTATTGATTTCTAAAAGAATTAGAAATGAACGTCTGTCCTCCACAAGTTTTCACGGAAATCTTATCGGTCAAAATAGTGCGTGTCCGTTATTCGACAGAACATACGTAATAAGTGTTCAGCATAGTGCAACTTCTAACACATGTTTCTGTTTTGTTTCAGCACTTCCTGTGAGTACCCAGTGCACTAATAAATTTGTAAACATTATTATATTATAATTACATTTTTGTTTTAAATTGCCCATTGCAAAGGTACCGTATTAAGGGGCACACCTAGTGTGTCAACCTAAAAAATGGCCATTTTTGGAAATTAAAAAAAAGAAAAGCTAGTGAATCCAACTATTTAAAATTTTGTGGGTATATTTATACATGTTTTGAGAATACACAGTAAAATTTTTGAAATAAAATATTAAATATTTTTGAAATGACACGCAATCGCCAGCGGCGCCATAAAAAAAGGTCCTCCACTACTGGAGCGATTGCAGCCTTCTCCGTCGATAAAACTACACAAAAAAAATTCTCCTTAAACTAAAACATATTGTCTGTACATTGACCCTCGGGCGATCAAAAAAATTAAAAATTGACAAAATGGCGACATATTGAATAAAAAAGTTAAATTTTCCCCAAAATTTTGGTCGTTTTTGGCCTGCCAAAATTCGATTTTTGATCAGATCAAAAAACTGGAGGGTCATTGTATGGAGAACTATCTAGAAGAGATGCAAAAAAAATTTGATAGCGATCGGATCATTTGTCTCCGAGCAATCACTCCAGCAAATTCGAAAAATGCTGTTTCGAGAAAAACGCGTTTAAAGATAAAATGCAACTATCTAACTGCCGAGCGGCTACTCTTTTAAATGGCTATTACTCAAAAACTATCTCAGATATCGAGTTAAAATTTTAGTATGTTGTTTTTAAAGGTATAACCTATCGAAATATGGTAAAAAAATTTGTTTTGTATATATTGAAATTGCAAATTCTAAAGTTATATTGTATTTAGTTTCTTTATAAAGAAATGTTAAAGGCAATGGCTGTGTCTTATGACTTGTGCACCCCTTCCTTCCATCATTTCAGGTACAGGTTACAACTTGTAAAGTATTTCTCAGGGTTGTGGTCGGTCCTGAGAGCGTCGACACTTAGAAATATCTCAACAATTTCTTATAAGGATTTCTCCTACTCGGGGGATGATCCCCACTATAAAAATTGTTAAGGTATCCTGTATGATTTGTGTACTCCATCTTTCATTTCAGCAACAGGTCAGAACTTGTAAGAATATTTTTAAGTGTTGTCTCTCTTGAGACGACCTAAAACTTAGAAATATTTGTACAAGACCTTTAAGGATTGTCCTTATAAGGAGTTCCCTCTCTCCGGGGGTGATCCCCCACCATAAAAATTGTTGATATGCCTAAGAACCCTGGGGATGAAGCGTAGGGACATCGTAGCTGTAGGATGGGCCGGGAGCAATGGACGCATCGAAGCAGGCCTTAGACTGTCTAACGACACGCGCCAAAAAATGTAAAAATCTGATCTCCTCCCCTGTTCTCTTTCTTCTATCTCCTCCTCTTCACTACTTCTCTACTCTCTGTTTTCTTCCTTCTATTTTCTCCTCTTCTCTACTACTCTTATTCTTCTATTTCTCTGTTCTCCAGTTCTCGTTCTCCTTTTAGTTTCTTACTTCTCCATATTGCCTTCACTTGTATTTCAATTTCTCTTATATTTCGTTGCAATTCATATATGCAACCCAAATTACACCTGTTATTTTAATATTTGAGAAAAATGCCTTCTATACCTGAAATTCGATCCGTGTACACTAGCATGCTACCAGGTGCACGTACTCACTCGACCACCGAGTGTTTTTATCATGAATATTTGATTCTTCTATTTATGTTTTTATATTATTCAACTTTTTGAAAACAACAACACAACACAACCAAGTTGCACTCGCTCCACGCGCATAAGATTTATACGCAATATAACTTAAAACGTCAATACTGAAAACAACAAAGAGGATACCACAAAAAAATATGCTTGAGATTATAACTTTACATTGTGTTTTATTGAGAATAATAATAATAGATACATTTTTTAAATAAAAAAATATCGACAGCTAGTAAATTCGGGAGTAGTCAAAACTTGCCTTAAAATACGCACATCTCCAACACTTCAGCTATAGATATTGCAAACTCAATTGCAAACGCCACACTTACAAACTTTTTGTCTGAGCATCAAAGTTGTCCATTTACAGGAATGAATTATAAATCCAAGTTATTCTTATGTGCGAAACGATAACTGATTGCCAACGGACACGCGCGCACAGGTGAATTAATCCACGATTGATAAACGCAGCAGCGTGCAATTACATAAATTAAATACCTGAACAAATATGCTTATATGCTTAACCACGCGAACGTACTTATCCGATCGCCACCACGCACGTCCCACAAATAACTACCACACTGGTCTGCTATTACTAAATGTCGTCCTATTCTAGTTCAATTAGAGAATTAAAATCTTTAGTAACGCTAACAATTGTCACGAAGTTTGACTGATGAAGAAAACACGTGCACTTCACACCACGGCGCACGAACGACTAAGCCGGACTAAGCAAGAACCACAATTGATAACCGACCCACAGTTGGAGGGACAACAATCTATGTTCGTAAGTTAAAAACAACAACGCGACTGCCAAAATTTTGGTACCAAAATTATCTGCTGTAAATAACAGAAAATATGTAATTTGAAGCAATTAAATTACCATACTTTTTTATGTTTGTAGGTTGCGCGCACTAATCTCACAAATTATATATGAAAGTGATAGAGTTTTAAAACTTTCAATTTGGTAACAGCACGGTTGTCCTACGACATAGCGTTCGCCCGCTAGACACCTAAAACCACAAAAATTGGAGGATCAAAAACACAAAAAGGGCATTTTCATAGGGTTCCCAAGGGATAAACCCACAAATTATATACAAAAACGATAGAGAATTGTAATACCTACAATTTGGTGTAAGAACGGTTATCCAACGACATCGCGTTCGCCCGCTAGACACCTAAACCACAAAAATTGGAGGATGGAAAACACAAAAAGGGCATTTTCATAGGGTTCCCATGGGAAAAACCCACAAATTATATACAAAAACGATAGAGAATTTTAATACCTGCAATTTTGTGTAAGAATGGATATCCTACGACATCGCGTTCGCCCGCTAGACACCTAAAACCACAAAAATTGGAAGATCAAAAACACAAAAGGGCATTTTCATAGGGTTCCCAAGGGATAAACCCACAAATTATATACAAAAACGATAGAGAATTGTAATACCTACAATATGGTGTAAGAACGGTTAACCAACGACATCGCGTTCGCCCGCTAGACACCTAAACCACAAAAATGGGAGGATCGAAAACACAAAAAGGGTATTTTCAAAGGGTTCCCAAGGGATAAACCCACAAATTGTATACAAAAACGATAAAGAATTTTAATACCTACAATTTAGTATAAGAACGATTGTCCTACGACATAGCGTTCGCCCGCTAGACACCTAAAACCATAAAAATTATAGGATAGAAAAACACAAAAAGGACATTTTCATAGGGTTCCTTGGAAATATCTCTACCAGTCCTTATAAGGATTGCCCTAATAAGGAATTCTCCCACTCGGGGGATGATCTCCCCACCATAAAAATTGTTGATATGCCTAAGAATCCTGGATGAAGCATAGAGACATCGTAGCTGTAGGTCGGGCCGGGAGCAACGGACGCACCGAAGCAGTGGGCGACCGAAAAATAGTCACATATATTATCAGAGACTACGCAGCTCATATTTATTCATCAACAGCATTCATAAAACAAATACACAAATAAAAGTAAAATATTCGTGTGTTATGTGTCAAAAAATTTGTCAAATATAAATCAAATATGATATAATTAATTAAATATAATTATCAAACTAAGAGATAGCTAAATTAGGGAGGCAGAAAGATATCGGTTACATAAATAAATTACAAATGGTAGATTCTTTCTTGACTATCGCATTCCGAATCCCAAAAAATTTTGTCGCGTAATACCTGCCTTAGAAATTGTGCCATGCGTAATTTCGCATGTATTCGTTACTATATTATTATTTTTACAAGTTTCCATCTCAATTCTATAAATGCGCTGTGCGCAGTTATCGCAATGAACCATCTTCACAAGCTCAAATTGCAAAATCAACGATTGAATTTATGTAAAAATTGATTCCGCGTTTGACTGACGCATCTGATACGTTATACCATCGTGAATAAGCCAATCCGTTAACTTCGGACAATATGTTAAAACAATTAATAATCATGTGCCCATTCGTTTTCTTGCAGGAATGAATCCACAACTTCCTTCATTGCGTAGTTCGGTATTAATTGATCTTGCGTCAATGTAACACGAGTCACTGGATCAAAATGACCCACTCTCTAATAATTTACCACATTACACAAAATATTACGAAAATTTTATAATAATTAAATAAATTGATGTCTTACCTGTAAATGTTCTTCAATGTCCTTCTTTTCATATGTTATACCACTAGGTGTAATAACTGGCTCTTGCAAAATTTCAAAACTAATCTTCCCACACAAATAATCAGGAACTTCTCTTTTCTATAATAAGAATTAGCTTTTAGAAGATTTAATCGGATATTTTTGCATCTACTTACTCGGCGTCGTTCATCCACTTTTGCGAATATTGTATTTAAATCGTTCATACTAGTATCCTAAAAATAATACATTAGTAACAAAGTTTTAATTTATTTAATTCATATTTAAAAGAAAGATTTGAGATTAATACATACACATTTGTGTTTAATTTCTTGTGCTTTGTGCACCCTGAAATCAGCATCAAGACCCTCCTGATCCAACTCCTTTAACTGCTTCTCTTTGTCATCTGCCATCAGCTTATTGATATAACTCTGGAGTTCAATTTCCTGTGCGATTCGTTTTTCTTCCAGCAATGTAAACCTCTTTTTCCGAGCGGAACGCAGCATAGACGAAATGTCATCGCCAAAATTTAATTTCTGTTCTCTTGCCAAATCAAACGCCCTTTGCAGATGTTTGACAGCCTCATCATAATTTTCAGATTCAAATAAAGCTTGTCCCATAAAAAAGTGGCCCTTTACTAATGAAGGGTCCATGTCCAAGGCCCTCCTGCAATCTGTACAAGCCTGATCCCATTTTTGTAACTTTAGGTGACAAAGTGCTCTGTTTGTAAAGTAATGTGCAACGTCTGGATTCTTAATCTAAGAACACACTATGTTATTCACAAACAATAAAACCACTGAATTTTACTTGTTTCAACTTACAATTGCTTTTGTATATAAATTTGTAGCATCTTCATACTTTCTTAAACTAAACATTCGATTTCCCTGCTCTTTTAACTCCTTATCAGTTAAATTTTGCGTAGAATACATGTGCTTACTCATTGTGTTACTCTAATTAGATTACTCTTATTGTATTTGAAATGCTATTAGTTATTATTGATATGGCAATTGAAATTTGTCTTTGACTTGCCTTATAGCAGATTAATCAAATTCAGAAATAGATCATTTCACTTGCCTGGCCAGCACTTGTTAGAAGCATTCTTATCGTTTATTTATTTAATACTACGCTGTTTTTGGAGGTGTTGGCAGAAGCTCACAAGACTGTTTTTTTGCAGGAATGATTCTCATGGCCATTTGATAACAATTCAAGCATATAACCTCATATATTGACAGCTTCGGTCTGACCTAAACACGCAGGGGATAAACATTTTGAAATTTAAAAATATATTTTTTAAGCTCTGCTTAAATAATATTATATAATAGATACATAGAACGCAATTGATTAATTGTTTTGAATTTTAATTGGATTAAATATATAATTAAAGTGCTTGGAAGATATTAAAAATTGATCAGTTATTTCTGCAGGAATCTGTCACATAACCAACATTTTTCTTAAACGTGACGTATATATGCGTTTTAAATTTTCAACCAAAACAAACTTAACTCAATTGAATTTCACGTAGGGACAGTTAAACTAATATTTAATTTATTTCTCATTGATTGGGGCACAAAATGTCCTCTTATGAAGAATGGACTTCTATGTTCTCACCAGAAATGGAAAATATTGGCATGGGCAAGTCAAAGCACTTAAAAAAGTTGGATTTACTATTGCATGTCTTTGACAAAGAAATTTCAAATATAAAATATTACCTACACACTGAGTACAAAACTGTTGAGTATATTGAATCCCTACAGAAAGAAAAAACAAATACCCAGAAAAAGAAATCACCATTGAGTTGTACAAACTTTGCTAAACCATCTAATATTAGATTGAAAAAGACTCCAAAACCACCTCCAGCTGTATCTAATATAATAAAAGCACCACCTAAAGAGAGTCCAGACATGTTCTTCAATCAAACTGTTGAAGAAAACAACTTAGATCAAAATATACATCTATCAGACAGTGATACAATCATGTCAAGTCCAGAGAAATTCAGCCCAAAGATCAAGAAAAAACGCATTTTACGTTTAAACAAAACAAAGGAGTTGGCGGAAAATCATCAACCAGTAACTATTAGAACACCACCAATAGAACTTGAAATAGATGATGTGATTGAATCAACACCTGAGGTGAAGAGCTTTAAAAAATCTCTAAGAACATCAACAAAAAAGAAACTCTTTGAGAGGACTGCACCTAAATCATCTCAAAGTATGTGCACCTTATCACAACTTTACAGGAAGAACACTCAAAGAAACAAAAGTGCAACTGCATCAATGAAATGCAAAAACATTCCACAGGTATTAACTGAACTAAATACTGACAATAATGCAACCTTGATTAACATGGAACATTCACAAAACAGTTATATTAAAATAGATGAATTGTTTGATAAAGTCTCAAACCTTAATAATACTGATGAGGACACGGAAATAATTAAAAGGTGCGTTGTTATGAATTACATTTACACCCAGAATAATGTAGTTAATTTCAGATTTCAAGAGCCTGCAGAAAAACGAAACTGCAGGTTCTGTGATATGAAAGGCAGTCCGTGCAGAAAACATATGATTCAAGTTGAACTAAAGGAGCCAAATGACACATTTTCTGGATTTTGGGATTTGAACTTCACCGCAAATAAACCGAAAACGAATTCTGATGACATTCCGAAAGATAAAGATGATGATAATAATTCGACAGTACTCAACTTCTTCGGAGGAAACATGTGATATTTGCAGCACTTTAATAAATATTACTATGTTATCTATCGGATACACATTTAATTATAACGCTCACAAATTTAATCACAGATAATCTTATGTATATTAATGTATGTGTTCATTTGCAATACGATTGTTATCAATTAACTCATAAATGAGAAATGAAATATGTACTTACTTTATTTGCTCTGTTTCTATCCCCTCAAAAGGTAATCGTCATCGAGATCGGAGTCGAGCGACACCGGCGGCGAAAAGAAGTGATCACCGCCCCCGGAGCCTAGACGAATTTCATACCGATTGTTATAATCCCGCATATGCTCTTTTGACTCGTTGACGTTCAGGTTCATGATTAACACGGGTCGCGCGTTGAAGCGTGGTAGGTCGTAGTCAAGCTTCGGCACGCTCACGTTTGCAATGTGCAAGTGCAGTCTGGATGGCTCCGGCGGTTCAATCAATTCAAACGCGTTGCTCTGGATGTTCCACGAGAACAGGCACTGCGCAACATACGTGTGCAGTTTTGAATTGGTCGTCTGTTCGAGCATTTTCATCGCGCAGATTTTTATCACAGATTTACAGATTATGAATCCTTCCAACGGACAGATCTAATAATAACACAACGATAAATATTGGGGATATAATTAAATTTTAATACGCACGTGCAAAAGTTCCATGTCATAGTCCTCGCAATGCAGAAAAACGAGATCGTGCTCGTTGCACAACCGTTGCGCGCGACTTTGAACAAACTGTTCGTAATCGAACGAGCGTTGCGTGACTATAAGTTGAGTTTCGGTTACCAGATCCGCCTTGAATTCGGGTATTATATCTAAATGTTGATCGGCTAGAGTTTGAACTAGAATTGGTATTTCGATAGGGATGTTGTAATCATCTGAAATCACAATTATTAAATAAAATCTGTTAATTGTGAAGATAATATTGAAATTACCTCTACTTTGTCCGGAAAGCAGTGAACTATTCTCAAAATCTCCATTGGAGAAGCGCCGCACGACTTTTTTAATCCATTTGTACGATTCGTCCTTCTTCGAGTCGACTATAAGTAACCCAGCTGGTTGATTCACCTTCGAGTTACTCTCCGGAAGATTGTTTATCTGCCTGAGTACAAGCTTGGAGTCATAGTCAGAAAAGTCGCTGTCCAAACCCGGCGAGTACACGTTAAATTTCCGATACTCGCGCGGACTAATCGGCGATTTGGAATGGTGCGGCGAATGTCGCAGCCCCGGGCAATAAATATTCCTTCCAGCAGGACTAAACTGACCATGGCGTGAGTTGGGAGACTGCATCGGTGAACGAATTCCGGAAGAACGCGGACTGAGGAACAACCCACTGAATTCAGGCGACTTAATTGTCCGCGACTTAAATAGATATCGACGCTCCTTGCGCAAGGAGTTAAAAGGAACTATATTCTCTGAATTGTCCTCCGAAAATTCATACTTTTTGTCTGCCAGTCGCTTCTTACGGAAGCTGCTCAACTTTTCGCACTTCTCGGTTTCTTCTGTGAACTCGTACGCTTTCTCTGCAATCTTTTTATCGATCTTCTGCTTCTCCTTCTGCGAACTAGAGGACTGCGGTACTGAAAACGTGTATTCTTTGCCTTGAAGGCGTTTGAGGCGCGGATCTACAATTCCCTTCTGCACTAATGCGTTGTGGTAGCTTTTGCCTGTGACGTTCAGCGGCTCGCAACTAATATTCAACTCGTGAAACGGTTTGGTACCATCACCCGTGTCAAGTAAATCATCGTCCCGGAAGTCTTCGAGGATCGCCTCGACAATACTGTTGGCGCTGAAATTATCGCTTGTCTCTGATGCCTCGGAGAGCGTATCAGCGCTTTGGAAGTGTTGCTTGAGCGTCAATTCATCGGAATTCGTTGTCGGCACGAAAGGCATGGTGGGCAAGGGCGGCTTATAGCAGGAGGTATTTAGGATGTGGATGTAGTAACCGGTGTTAATCACGAAATAATCCGGGAAGGCAAGGGACACATTTGGGTCAAACGTCGGAGCCGGTTGCGACATAGTAAACATGTAATGCAGCATAAAGCCATGAGTCAAACACCAGCCTTGGGACAGGGAATCTAATAAAACAATATATCAGTTTTATGCACAGACACAAATATCTAAAACTCACCATCAATTTGTCTAACATTTTCATTGCAAAATCTGCAATTATCACTTATTGGCAGTGTTAGAATGGTTAAATAAGACATTGAAGGAGTCAAATTATTCCTAAAATGTTTAAAACATTACTCATATTCATTCTATGTGAAAACTAAAAATATAACTTACACAACACCATAACAATACAATTTGTAGGGATCAGTCGGGTATTGCATGAATGTTATCTCATCCAACTCTCCATGTTTGAGCAATTTGAATATCTTGTGCTTGCTGTGGAAAGCAAACCTCTTGCCAGGCACAAACCTCCACACATACAATTCATAACTAACCAGTGGAGAGAGCCCTAACATATCATCAATATTCTCCTTGTAACTTACAAAATACTGGCCACAGATTGTGAAACCCATATAAATATGAACCCTAGGAAACCATGCCAATTAATCATACAAATCATCCTCCATGAACTTCACTTACATATATTGTGATTCAGAGTAATCAAACAAGTCATCCAATATGAAGACATTCTCAGGATGAATGTGTTTGAAGGGCAGTTCAGTCTTAGATTTACTATGTGATTCATTGGCGAATTTGCCTAATATCTAGAATGGCAGATGAATTCAATCAATGATTGTGATTTTATAATTAAAATAAATTCAAGGTAGCCATGACCCATGCGAAGTTTGAGGATATTTCTCGGTATATATTTGATTGAAAATAGTACTCACCTGACGATTCGCTAGCTTATTAACGAAGCTTGTGTCTGATGAATTCATCTTCGGTTGATTCTCCGGCAAAAAACGGCGAACGCTCATTATCACTCGAGTCGTTTAAACTGTCGCTGCTGCACACATTTGACGCCATATTTTTATTAGTGTTTACTGCTGTTTACTTTTCTGTTTACATATGACGAGGACAGGTATATCTTGTCAAATGTCACTACATATGTGCATTATTAAATTTAATTGTTAGATATATTGTGCACAACAATCACAAAATTGACTATAAATATTAAAATATAGCATTATATTGTGTAATTGTTAAAGTTACAACTAGATTTGTGCAAATTTTCATTCAAAAAGATTAGAAAATGTGCGAAGATTTAGGAACGTTGCCATTTTACTAATATGAATTTTGTGATAAAATTAATAATATCCAAACCTTTTAATTAAAAAAACGTTAAGAATATTTATGATTATTCGCATTCAAAAAGTAAAATTATGAATATAATAAAAAAAATATACCTAATTTTCACGTCCTAAAGTATTATTTTATATGGCAACAACACATATTGCCGCATGTCAACCGTCATAAAACATCGAAGTGGTTTACGTTTGCTGGTGACGTGTTGCTAAGAAATCAAGATGCGGCTACTTATTTTCGCGTTTTCCGTGCTATTTATGTGCATAAATGCACAACAAAATACGCTAGTACTTCTAGACAATCAAGTTGTGAAGGAAACGCATTCTATGTTCTTCAGAGCGTTGCAAGGTATGTTGACGGCATGACTTTTTACTTGTAGACTTGCATTAAGGTTATCTAGACAAGCCGCAACTTGATATTTAATTTAAAATATTTCAAGTTATTTCTAAACTTCTTGTAGTTTCGTTAAATAATTACTTTACAACAAAGTTATAATTTTATCTATAGAATTATATCATATACTTTTGCAAGTTTAAATCTGTTTCTAATTAACCTGTATAATTTGTATAGAAACTGGTTATGTGCTAACATTCAAATTGGCTGATGATGCCACCCTACACATTTCAAAATATGGGGAATTCCTCTATGACAACATCATCATTTTCGCCCCATCTGTGGAAGAATTTGGCGGACAACTAAGCTCTGACGCAATAATCAAATTCGTTGATAACGGCGGCAACTTACTTATCGCTGGCGACAGTAATACTGGCTTTGCACTCAGAGAAATTGCCTCTGAAAGCGGTTTCGAAGTCGATGACGACGGTGCCCAAGTAATTGATCACTTAAACTACGATGTCAACGATGAAGGTCAACATACCAGAATTGTCGCCGGTGTGGAGAACCTTATCGAAGCCGATGTCATCACCGGAGATCGAACTACTCTGTATCCCATGTTGTTCCAGGGAACCGGCATCTTAGCCGATCCTTTGAACCCACTGGTATTGCCTATCTTGACTGCGGACAGTACTGCCTATTCATACAACCCAGAACAACCAATTAAAGACGTACGTATATCTAACAATATTAATATTTTCAGTTACCTAACATTTTCTATTTTTATGTTTACAGTATCCACACGCAGTTGGAAAGAATACTATTCTTATCGCCGGTCTTCAAGCGCGTAACAACGCGCGTGTTGTCTTCAGCGGATCACTCGCCTTCTTCTCGGACGAGTTCTTCCACGCACAAGTCCAAAAAGCGCATGGCGGTAAACTACATGAAATCTCCGGTAACCAGGAAATAGCACTACGCATCACTAACTGGGTATTCAAGCTGAAGGGCGAGTTACGCGTCAAGTCTGTGAAGCATCACATCGCAGGTGAGACTCAGCCGCCAGCAGCATACACGATTATGGAAGATGTAGTCTACACCATCGAGATTGAAACCTTCAAGAACCGCAAATGGCAACCCTATGAAGCCACAGACATTCAACTAGAGTTTGTACGCATTGATCCTTTCGTACGCACCACACTCAAGAGGAAACCAAATGGCGCATATGAGGCAAAGTTCAAAATTCCGGATGTGTATGGCGTTTATCAATTCAAAGTTGATTATGATCGCATTGGATACACTCATTTATATAGCACCACACAGGTGTCAGTCAGACCATTACAACACACGCAGTATGAGAGATTTATTCCGAGCGCATATCCTTACTATGTGAGTGCGTTCTCAATGATGGTCGGAGTTATATTATTTTCAATCGTGTTCATTCATCATAAAGATGAGCCAGCAGGCAAGAGCAAACATGAATAAATTGTGTACTACTGCATTAATAGATACAATAGAGCGCTTTTTAATAAAAGTGTATACAACGTAACAATTTCCACTAATAAAATATGAACCACTTAAAATATTTCACTACCATTTTATGTTCAAAGCTGTATTAGCCTTGACAATTTCATGATACTCAGTATGCAGAATTGAATTTGATTTGTCTGTATCCATTCCACCTAACCAATTTTCATAAAGTTGCTTTACCAATTGATTGTGCTCGGGATTTGTAACTGGTAATGCATCGTAGAGTCTCTCAAGCGCAATAGTTAATTCTTTCTGAGGCATTCCGTCCTTGGGACGTACTTGTGCGCCGCCATTAAGACAACCTGATGGGCATGCCATTACCTCCACATAGTGGTATTGCGACTTACCTCGTTTTAATTTCTGCACCAAGTTCTGAATGTTACGAAAACCGTTTGCTATTGCAAAACGAAGTAGTACTTTTCCATCGTGTTCGAGAATTGTTTCTCGAAAATCGGGATTTCTGCAAATATTTTAAATATTCATAACAATTTCTAGCTATAGTATTTTGCGTAATCTTTACCTTAATTGTTTGAATTCGATTTTATCATTATCAATATCAAACAGTTCCTTTGCAGCATATCTAAAGATATGATCAGCATATCCACCTGAACCAGAACCAATATGTCTACACAATAGTGGTTCTCGTTCATTGTCACCACTTGCCCATGGTTCAGAAAACGTTGAACCTGCGATTGTTTCCAAGTTGATGTTGTTTTTCATTAGCATTTGCTCTAATTCAACTACAATCATCGGAAAAATATTAAAACTGGTATTATTTGAATTTTGTTTTAAATATTACTTGCGGTAATAACGCAATCAACATCTCTTTGTTCGGAATGTTTATCAAAGAAGTCTTCCCTGGCAGCCTCCAGTTTCTTATCATAACAAGGCATCACTGTCACATGATAAATCTGCCTGCCATTATGTTTCTCGCGCACATATTGCTTTATAATACTGCCCATTATTTGCTGAGGTGATTTGGTTGTGGATATGTATGGAAGAATATAACTTCCATGAGTTTTCTCAGCATAACACACCCAACCTGGGCAACTAGAGGCCAGCATTGGTAAGACATTCTTCACACCGTCGCTTGTTGTAGCGCGGTATCGCTTTATAAACTCCCGTTGATTTTCCAACAATGCAAAGTCATCAGCAATCGTCATATCGATGACCATGTCAGCTCCGAGAGACTTAAAATAGCCGGCAAGTTTTGAAGCGCAGTCATTTGGTGATAAATTGTAGCACACTGCAAGGGATAGGATTGGTTGGACTGATAAGGATACAATAATTAACTTTGCTTCCAAAGAATCACCAGTCTATAATAGATACATATGTAGCTATAGATAGTGATGATAGATAAATTAAAAGGCTGGATTTTACCTTGTGTAAGACTTGATTCTCTTCAAATACTCTTAAAATTTCTTCCTGACTTTGCTGAGTAATAAGAACACTTTCAGCAGATGTAATGCATCCTGAACATGCAAGACAATCAGCTAATGTTATCTCTACTTTCTGCAGTTTTTCAGTTGTTCCATCCTAACAAAATTGTCAAAAGAATAATTGGATAACAATTGAAAGCATAAACAAAATATTTACTTGTTGCATTTGGAAATAATCTCCATCATCTCCTATGGTAATTTTAGCACCTGTACCTGTCTTGGTTGTTTTCACTTCTGTTGGCATTATACATTCCTGAGAATTGTGAATGAATTAAAAAACTATGTAAAACTCTATTTAATTTTTACCTGAGATGGGGTGATAAAATCATCCAAGTCCGTTAATTGCAAAACACCACTGAAACCACTCATTGTTGCAGTTTAACTAAACAATTCTGCTGACAAAACACACAATACTAAACACTGCTGAGCACTTAAAACGGAATGGAATGAACAAGGTAGTCAAAAGCACCTTTATAATTATGTATAACCATAAAATTCAAAATAATAATATAACCTTAAAAGTTTTGCAACTTCGACGCCGTGAAACGTTTATTATAAAACAATGTCGTTAGCTGATGAATTATTAGCAGATCTCGAAGAAAACGATCACGATGATCTACAAGATGAATATGAAGCCCTGGACGAAGCAGTTAAACAAGAAAATGCCGAAATTAAAGAAGAACCCATGGAAACAGACACCACACAAATCAACTCAATTCGCGAACTATGCAAACTAAGAGATTCGGAGCGTTTGATCAATATAATGAAACAAATCAAAGGCTACGGAAACAAAATACGTAAAGCTAGTGAAATCATAGGTCCTGTTGAAGCAGATCCAGAATATATGTTGATTGTAGAGGCAAATGACTTGGCTGCTGACTTTGATTCTGAAATAGCCACTATTCACAAGTTTGTTAAAGATAAGTATCAAAAACGTTTCCCAGAGCTAGATTCCTTAGTAGTGGTTCCTTTGGAGTATGTACGAACAGTAAAAGAACTCGGAAATGATTTAGATCAAGCCAAAAACAATGAAACTCTACAACAGTTCCTGACCCAAGCAACCATTATGGTTGTTTCAGTCACTGCCTCTACAACTCAGGGTACATTTCTGACTGAGCAGGAAAAAGTACAGATTGATGAGGCCTGTGACATGGCAATTGAATTAAATGATCTAAAACTACAGATTTATGATTATGTTGAGAGTAGAATGGCATTTATTGCTCCCAATTTATCATTAATAGTTGGAGCATCAATTGCAGCTAAAATTATGGGTGTTGCTGGAGGATTAACAAGATTATCAAAGTTACCAGCTTGTAATATTCTGCTTCTTGGCCAACAGAAGAAGACCCTGTCTGGTTTTTCACAGATTCACATGTTGCCACACACTGGCTTCATTTATTATTCTGATATTGTACAAAATACGCCACCAGTAAGTGTGATAAATCAAAATTAATTACTGATCTCTAATGTGGCTTATTTTTGGTTCCAGGACTTGCGGCGTAAAACAGCAAGACTTGTAGCTAATAAATGCGCATTAGCTGGACGAGTCGATGCAAATCATGAGAGTGTGGATGGTCACATCGGGCGCAGTTTACGCGATGAAATAGAAAAGAAACTGGATAAAATGCAAGAACCTCCACCGGTTAAATTTGTCAAGCCGCTACCGAAACCGATTGAAACCAGCAAGAAGAAACGCGGCGGTAAACGAGTCAGGAAAATGAAAGAACGTTACGCCATTACTGAACTTAGGAAGAATGCGAACCGAATGAACTTTGCCGACGTATGCCTAACAATATATTTTTTAGTATAAAATTTAATTGTTCCTTGACTTTTAGATTGAAGATGATGCTTACCAAGAGGATTTAGGCTACACCAGAGGCACAATTGGCAAGTCCAGCACAGGTCGCATCCGTCTACCACAAGTCGATGAAAAAACCAAAGTGCGCATCTCGAAAACTCTTCAGAAAAATCTACAAAAACAACAAATCTGGGGCGGTAGTACAACGGTCAAGAAGCAAGTTTCTGGTACAGCTTCAAGTGTAGCATTCACGCCGCTACAAGGTTTAGAAATCGTAAATCCACAAGCCGCCGAAGTGAAGGTAAACGAAGCAAACGCCAAATACTTCAGCGCGACTGCTGGATTTGCTACCTCATCATCAGAAAAAAAGTAAATTCAGTATTACAAAAAGTTGCCATTCACACATCTTATATATTAAATATTTGTATGTATAAATATTAAATAATAATTTCAATAATTAGTCTTGTACTTTTTCATCTCGACCATAATATGATGAATATTCGTCAGTTGCGTGCGAGCATTCGGCGACAACAGCTTATGAAACCGATGGTAATACTGTACCAGTTGAGTAAGTGCCAATTGCAATAGACTGGAACCTGTCACTAAGTTGGGAAAACTAAGCAATACTTCCCTGTTCAATTCCTCAAGGCTTTTCTTCCAGTTGTTGGAAAAATTCTGCACAATACCAGCGGTTTTTGTCTCGTACTTCTTCAGCTGATCGGTATTATTCTTTTCAATGAAATACTCACACTCTTTAACGTACTGCATCATCTCTCCAAAGTGCGGACTGAGAATCTCTTCAACGTATTCGGTGCTTTTGTTAGTAAGACGCGTACGGAATGATTGCGCTTCTTTTGAATTATCGCGAGTGCGCTCCATAATAATGTTCAGGATCATGTCATAGTTGTTGATGAGATAAATTAGTTGTTCTTTACGCTGTGGGAAGATACCAGCCATGCGTAGGATGAACAATTCAACTTCCTCTTGTAATTCTGCTAGCAGTTGATTTACTAGTTCATTGGGAAAATTTTCACTTATACCAACTAGCGCAGCGCTAAATTCAGCATATCTTCTTGTTATCTATTAAATTTATTTATATGTATTACTTAATATTCTTGTATGTATTTGGAACTTACATAGTGAGGACCCATTTCCCTGTTGAATTTTGTAGGATCACAATCGCGAATACTGTTGATATTTAATCGAAAAACATGTTCAAAACGAGGTAAAATTATGGCTTGTAGACTTTCCCAGTGTTTATCCAAAGCAGGCACGCAGCGCTTGTGGCACATGAGTTGATATCGTAAAATTAGATGAAAGCAAAGAAAAAGTGCGATTGTATCGTAACAATCAGCGACGAATGTTTCCAAATTTTTCTAAACAATTATAAAAGCGATAAGGAGACACATTTCTAATATTTATGTGTAAACTTACTGTAAGTAGAGTTAATGTTTTGCCCATAATTTGATAAAATAGATCCAGTGCAGCAGTGCCCCTGACAATAAAGAACTCGCTCAGAAACAAGTACTCTCTACATGCATTATCAACCAATGCATACTGTTCACTCCGGAAGAGGGCTTCAAAGTGATACTGCAATCAAAAAATTATTGTTAATATATAATTGTTATAAGAATTAAAACATTTACATACTCGATTCTTAGATTGTGCATGTGGAACGATAATAGGCGCTTCTAATTGTTGCGCCAGAATATCGCCGCGATTTCCAATCGTAAAAACGGTACCTTTATGTTTCAAAGTACTCTTGTGAAAAATACTCCTGGTTGCTGTATCTTCAATGCCCATTAGGTCATCTTTTGTGGTGTTTTCTTCAAATTGTAGCTTCATAATTCTCCCTGAGTAACTTTTAAAGTATGAGAAGTAAATTTTACTCATTGTGTCCATGTATTCATTACAAATCTCCTGTGCTACATTTCTTTCATTGGACAAAATAAACTCAAAGAAAAATTTATATTTTAACATTGCATTCTGTGGTACTTGATAGTTTGTCATTGGTTTTCTGAATTTTAAAACCTGTTCTAACAAGTAAACTCTAATTTTTGACATGGCCTTAATTTTAAGCTTCTCTAAGATGTCACCTACATCTGAGCAAGATTTATACTCTTTAAATGACTGTTCCTTAACGAAATTTATTTTGTGATTTAGTATTTGCAAATGCCCAAGAAATTCTTTATCAGTGACTGGGCATTCTAAGATGCCATTGATGAGGGTCTCTGATACAGCCATATCATCAATAAATTGACTCAACTGTCCTCTAATACTCTGTCTATTACTCAATTCTTGACTCATTGAAATTGATTTTCTTTGCAGTGATAGTATTTCTGTACTAATACTGCCCAAATCCTTTTGGAAACCCAAAAGCATGTCTTCCATTCTTTCTAGGATTTGATCACATGATGAAATTTGTTTGTGAAGGCTGGCTATGTTCTGTCCTTCCTTAATATAGTCCTGAATCGATTTATTCTCCACTTCTTTAAGTTCCTTCTCAATTTCACGTGAATATTGTCGTAAATCTGTGCCTGTTTTGAGAATGTCCTGCACGAGTTCATCTTCTAAATTTTGATGGATTTGATCCACGCCATCTTTTGTATGCGCCATACTTGATTAATATTATAACAGCAAGAATTTAATACTAAAACACGGATTTAATTACAGATTTATTATAAATAAATCATTTTTTGTCTCTTGGCGAGATGGAATGTTTTGATTTGAAGTGAAACGTCACCTCGAATGACCCCCAAAGTTGCAGGTTAAATACAACGGGTTGCATACATTAAAACACCAAATCAGATATAAAACAGCATTTATTAGATATTTTTCATACTTTTTTCGATGTAATGTTTAATAAAATTTACAAATCCCTCGACAGTACCATCATATTTATACTCTGCACATACACGACCTTGTATTACAAGTTTAAAGGTAGGATATTTACGTATTCCAAACTTTTTAACAATAGCTGGATCAGTTCCTGCATTCATTCTAATAAGACTTAAAACCGGTGGATTCGCTGAATATTTAGTAGAATTATATGTAGTAAAATAAGTATTTGACAATACTTCATTAGCCATTTCAAATAATGGCAATGCATCCTTGCAAGACTGATACCATGTTGCATAAAAGAATATGAACACAAAGTCATATCCAGAAACAAAATTTTTGTAGTTTGCTAGAGTAATTTTATCCGAAAATATTGGAAATCGAACTACTCGACTTCTATTTGCTTCTGTAGGTCGCTCCTTTTTGTTATCAATGAACTGTTCAACATATTGTAAGAAACATTCAGTGTTTCTTTCAGTGGGATCACCTGCCTCCAATAGTTCGCCGTTTTTAATTATACAATAACGTGGATAACTCCATATATTAAACATTTCACATAATACTCTCTCGTCGCTACAATTCACTTTAACCATTATTGCTTGTCCTTTTTGATGGCGCTCCCTGGGATACAAATTTGCAAGAATATTTGCTGCCTTATCATACTCATGGCCGAAGTCTCCTCTGCCTTCGCCCTCAAACTTATCAAAGTAGAAAAATATACAGACAACATCATATGTGTTGATCAGTGGTTTGTACCATTTTCGTGTAAGCCTTTGAGCTTTTGTTTGAACTCTTGGTTCACTTCTTACAACACGCATTGTTGTAGTTTATATACAAATAAATAATGACTAGCAGCACACACTAGCTTTGGTTGCAATTCACTGAATGCAGCAGATGATTTCTAGTTCGATATTTGGTGGGGAGTGTGGTCATATTGAGTCATATTGCGCAATTTATTGAAATATCGGAAATTAATGCACAAGATGCCATTGCTTCCTTATGATTTTCTTTCATTGCATCCTCGTATTTTGTTATATACTTCTTTATCAAATCTATCATTTCATTCATGACACTAAGATATCTCCAAACTCCTCTTCGTTCATAAATAGAACCTATAATTCCATGGCTTACCAATACAAATGAGGGATAATATATGATTTTAAATGTTTTAATAGCTTCGTTGTTGCCGGTAACATCCACCCTTACAAATTTAATAAAACCATTTTTTTTATACTTTCGTTTGGTATTGTAATATTTTGTCACCTCGATAGCAGTTCTCTCGAAACTTGCCAGTATATCTTCTGATTTGCAACTGTCTTTGGCATAGAACATCACAAATACAAATGGGTACTTCTTTATCATTTCTTCATAATTCTCAAAAGTAACAAGTTCTGTTTGAACTTTTACTGGTTTCACTGCTGAAATTGTAGCTGGAACTCGTTCACGAAATCTTTTCTTGCCTATGATGTACTTTTCGGCAAATCGTAGAAAATTCTCTGCTGTTGCTGGTTTCCTTTCAAACTTCGCGTTTAGGAGTTTTTCGTTTTTGATTATTCGGTATGTTGGACGGACTTTGACATTGAATTCTTTTGCAATAATTTGTTCTTCGGAACAATTTAGTTTAGCGAAGACAACTTTTCCTTTGTGGCCCGAATTTTTTGTATACAGCGTAGAAATGATGTTTGCTGCTTTATCAAATTCAAATCCAAATTCCCTGCATCTATCACCCGGATACCGACCATTGTAACAACAAACGCACACAATTTCATATGATTTAAGCACTGTTTTATAATTTTTTTGTGTGAGGATCACAGTTTTAGCTATGGAGCAAATTTCCTTGTTTGGTTTATTCATTTTAATTGAGTTCTTCAGAATAAATAACTTTAAAACACTTGCACCAACTATCGGTGTACCTATCAACTAGTAGAATGTGATTACGAGTTTACCGCGGTGCGCTTTTTAAACCCGAATCCACTTGATTTCAAAATAAATTCGTTGTGCAATGTTACTACACTCATATGTGCCATTTCCTGCGTAATATTTTTTACCACGTTTTGTACTGATACTACCAGAGTATCCCAGCATGCAGTATCGGAGTTAGTATTTGTTTTCTGAACATAGAGTACGCTAGTCATTCCGTTGGAAACATTTATTTATCAAATACGAACAAAAATAGAGATATTTTATTTGTAAATATTTACAAATTTGTTGAAAATTATTGAAATAAATAAAATGTTTAATCGGAAATTAATGCACTAGATGCCATTGCTTCCTTCTGTTTTTCTCTCATTGCATCCTCGTCTTTTGTTATACATTTCTTTATAAAATCTACCATATCATGCATGACATTAGGAAATCCCCAAACTCCTCTATTTTCATAATTAGGACCTATAATTCCATGTCTAACCAATTTGAATGTGGGATAATATCGGATTGCAAACTTTTTAACAGCTTTCTTGTTGTCGGTAACATCCAGCCTTACAAATTTAATTAAACTATTTTTTTTATATCTTCGTTTGGTATTGTAATATTTTGTCACCTCAATTGCAGTTCTCTCAAAACTTTGCAGTGTATCTTGTGATGCATAACACCAATTGGCATAAAACATCATAAACACAAATGGGTATTGCTTTATCGTTTCTTCGTAATTGTCAAGAGTAACAAGTTCTGTTAGAATGTTTACTGGCTTCACTGCTGAAACTGTAGCTGGAACTCGTTCTCGAAATCTTTTCTTGCCTATGATGTACCTTTCGGCAAATCGGAGAAAATACTCGGCTGTTTCTGGTTTATTTCCAAATTGCACGTTTAGGAGTTTTTCGTTTTTGATTATTAGGTATGTTGGACAGCTTTTGACATTGAATTCATTTGCAATCATTTGCTCTTGTGAACAATTTAGTTTAGCGAAAACAACTTTTCCTTTATGGCCCGAACTTTTCGTATACAGGTTGGAAATGATGTTTGCGGCTTTATCAAATTCAAATCCAAAATCTCTGCATTTACCACCCGGATTCCAATCATTGTAACAACAAACGCACACAACTTCATATAATTTAAGCACTGTTTTATAATTTTTCTGCGTAAGTATCACAGTTTTAGCAATGGAGCAAATTTCCTTTTTTGGTTTATTCATTTAAATTCAGTTTACAGGAAAATTAACATTAAAACACTTAAAAACACTTACACCAACTATGAGTGTATCTGTCAACTTGTAGAATGTGATGATGGGCTTACCGCGGTGTGCTTTTAAACCCGAATCGACTTGATTTCACAATAAATTCGTTGTGAAATGTTACTACACTCATCCGCACCATTGCCTGCACAATATTTTCTACCGCTGTATTAACATCTGGTAGTATTAACTACCAGAGTATCCTAGCATACAGTGTTGAAGTTAATAGTTATGTTTTTAAACATAGATAACGCTAGTCATTCAGTTAAAATCATTTATTTATCAAATACGAACAAAAAATAGATTAATTTAATTGTAAATATTTACATTGTGCAGCATTCACGATTCTTTTTATAGGCTTGCAAATGACAGATAAAGAAGTGCCATGTTTATTTATTTAATTGTTAATTTTGAAATGAAATTATTGGAAACTTATTTATAATTTTAAAATACAAACTATAATAATAATAGTTTAACGTAGTTACCGAATAAATGATATTACAACTTTAAAAGTTACTTACTTTCAATTCTTTCAAAATACGCGCCTCTTTATTTTCCTCGTAATAGGTAGGTAATCAGCAGAAAACTTTAAAATTGAATTTGAACCAGTTACACTTCAAAAATATAAAACGGCATTTATTTAATATTTTTCATACTTTTTTCTTTGAAACGTTTAATAAAATTTACAAATCACTCTATAGTACCATCATATTTATACTTTGTACATACACGAGCTTGTATTACAAGTTTAAAGGTAGGATATTTACGTATCCTAAACTTTTTAACAATAGCTGGATCAGTTCCTGAATTCCAGGAAGGCCTCGCAAACGTTGGAAAGACAGACTATTGTAGAGTGGATGAACAGGCACAGTTATGCCTAATCCCAGAAGAAGAAGAAGAAGAAGTTCCTGAATTCATTTTAACAAGACTTAAAACTGGTAGATTCTTTGAATATTTAGTAGAATTATAAGTAGTGGAATAAGTCTTTGATAATTCTTCATTAGCCATTTCCAATAATGGCAATGCATCCCTGCAAGACTGATACCAAGTAGCATAAAAGAATATAAACACAAAGTCATATTCAGAAACATAATTTTTGTAGCTTGCAAGAGTAATTTTATCCGAGAATATTGAAAATCGGACTACTCGACTTCTCTCTGCTTCTATAGGTCGTTCCTTTTTATTATCAATGAATTGTTCAACATATTGTAAGAAACATTCAGAGTTTCTTTCTGTAGGATCACCTGCCTCCAATGGTTCGCCGTTTTAATTATACGATAACATGGATAGCTCCATATTTTAAACATTTCACACAATACTCTCTCGTCGCTACAATTCACTTTAACCATTATTGCTGGTCCTTTCTGATGGCGCTCTCTGGGATACAAATTTGCAAGAATATTTGCTGCCTTATCATATTCATGGCCAAAGTCTCCTCTCCCTTCGCCCTCAAACTTATCAAAGTAGAAAAATATACAGACAACATCGTATGTGTTGATCAGCGGTTTGTACCATTTTCGTGTAAGCCTTTGAGCTTTCGTTTGCACTCTTGGTTCACTTCTTACAATACGCATTGTTGTAGTTTATATACAAATAAATAATGACTAGTAGCGCACACTTGCTTTGGTTGCAATTCACTGAATGCAGCAGATGATTTCTAGTTCGATATTTGGTGGAGAGCGTGGGAGTATTGAGTCATATTGCGAAATTTATTGAAATAAATAAAATGTTTAATCGGAAATTAATGCACTAGATGCCATTGCTTCCTTCTGTTTTTCTCTCATTTCATCCTCGTCTTTTGTTATATATTTCTTTATAAAATCTACCATATCATGCATGACATTAGGAAATCCCCAAACTCCTCTATTTTCATAATTAGGACCTATAATTCCATGTCTAACCAATTTGAATGTGGGATAATATCGGATTGCAAACTTTTTAACAGCTTTCTTGTTGTCGGTAACATCCAGCCTTACAAATTTAATTAAACTATTTTTTTTATATCTTCGTTTGGTATTGTAATATTTTGTCACCTCAATTGCAGTTCTCTCAAAACTTTGCAGTGTATCTTGTGATGCATAACACCAATTGGCATAAAACATCATAAACACAAATGGGTATTGCTTTATCGTTTCTTCGTAATTGTCAAGAGTAACAAGTTCTGTTAGAATGTTTACTGGCTTCACTGCTGAAACTGTAGCTGGAACTCGTTCTCGAAATCTTTTCTTGCCTATGATGTACCTTTCGGCAAATCGGAGAAAATACTCGGCTGTTTCTGGTTTATTTCCAAATTGCACGTTTAGGAGTTTTTCGTTTTTGATTATTAGGTATGTTGGACAGCTTTTGACATTGAATTCATTTGCTATCATTTGCTCTTGTGAACAATTTAGTTTAGCGAAAACAAAAACAACTTTTGCGGCTTTATCAAATTCAAATCCAAAATCTCTGCATTTACCACCCGGATTCCAATCATTGTAACAACAAACGCACACAACTTCATATAATTTAAGCACTGTTTTATAATTTTTCTGCGTAAGTATCACAGTTTTAGCAATGGAGCAAATTTCCTTTTTTGGTTTATACATTTTAATTCAGTTTTACAGGAAAATTAACTTTAAAACACTTAAAAACACTTACACCAACTATGAGTGTATCTGTCAACTTGTAGAATGTGATGATGGGCTTACCGCGGTGTGCTTTTAAACCCGAATCGACTTGATTTCACAATAAATTCGTTGTGAAATGTTACTACACTCATCCGCACCATTACCTGCGCAATATTTTCTACCGCTGTATTAACATCTGGTAGTATTAACTACCAGAGTATCCTAGCATGCAGTATTGAAGTTAATAGTTGGGTTTTTTAAACATAGATAACGCTGGTCATTCAGTAAGAAACATTTATTTGTCAAATACGAACAAAAAATAGAGATATTTTATTTGTAAATATTTACATTGTGCAGCATTCGCGATTCTTTTTATAGGCTTGCAAATGACAGATAAAGAAATGCCATGTTTATTTTTTCAATTGTGAATCTTGAAATGAAATGATTGGAAACTTATTTACAATTTTTAAAATACAAACTATAGGTAATAATACATAATGATTTGACGTAGTTAACGTAGTTAGCAAATACATGATATAACTTTAAAAGTTACTTGCTTTCAATTCTTTCAAAATACGTGCCTCTTTATTTTCCTCGTAATAGGTAGGTAATCAGCAGAAAACTTTAAAATTGAATTTGAACCAGTTACACTTCAAAAAAGCAATAAAGATAGCAAATAAAAGAACTTATATCTACGTGCATCGCGTCCCGTACATTGTTTTCGTTTGTTTATCGAAGACCAATAATGCGACTGGACGGAACGCATCACTTGCGGATCTTGATATTCACTTGAATGCAAATGCAAACCGATCATGGTTGGGTTCAAATCATTGCGACTTTATGCAAAATCGTCTCTCTCGTTTGTATCTCGAAGAAAACGCGCACCAGTTTGCATTCTAATGCCTTTATCTTTATCGCTTTATATCTTTATATTTTGCTAGTGGTGCAGCTCGTCGAGTAAAAGTGCACGCTGTGCGGAGTATCAGTTTGATGTAAGAAGGATACGCTTAGAAAATTGCGCTCTCGATCGATGACAATTTTATATAAGTAAGTGAAACCAGAAAAATATACTATAATGAACATCGTTCTATGGAATTGGTATTAAATTGTATCAATATCATTGATTATTTCGTTGATGTAATACATTTTATAAAATAATTTTGAGAAACACGAAATTTTATCCGATGAAAACCTAGAAAAATTGCATTGTTCGTTGTGTCATTGAAATCGACATTTCTAGCACAACTTCAGCAGAAAAAAACTCGAATTTATACTTTGTACGTTTATATTGCCGCGCTTGCATGATCTTGTAGGGATTTGTAATCTCAATACGCTTTCATTATAAGTGTACTATAGTGCAAAAGACTCAAGTTGGTTGGTTGGTTAGATGTTTAGCGAAATCGAGACCGACGAATATCGTAGGGGCTTCCTTCCTAACAAGCCAGCCCACAGATTAATCACTGTCGTGGCGCGCAATGTGCGCAGCATTCGTGTTGCAAGCGCGCGCGCCGCGTTCAGATTTCATTTTCACTCCAGCAGGGTTTACGCTCCGCTCGACGGGAATGCCAAGTTTATCAGCACTTCTTTATGTTATGCGCCACGCAATAAAGTGGATGTCGGCGGCACGTCTTCGTTTGATATTTCTGAAACATGAACCCTGGAAACTGCCGCACCACAGCCGCAGCCACTAACAAAGCAACATCAACCGCGTCGCTAATCCTTCAAACATCAACATGAACACAATCTTTTTGTAAGTAACTAACACAAATTGGATAATCGTTGATAAATAAAACATAATAGATATTATTTGCTTAGTAAATAAATATTATGCAATTTTTGCATTAATTTTGCAAGAAAAGAAGATAATACTACCTTGATAAAACTACTTTCTTGTAATATGCCCTACTTAATACTTTATCTGTATTTTTCTACACCGCACACGGAATTACAGCCACTATGCAGTGCCCATTCAATATAGTTATAGATATAATATAGCTCTAGTACCAATATACTTGCGCAAATGTGTACGATGTAGAAAATGTGCGGAAAAAGTATTAAAAAAGCGGAAGCGACGGCGGCGGCAGCAAAAAGAAAGCGAAAAGTCCGCCTGCGTCGAGCAAACTACCAACTAGCAACCAGAGTCTACTTACTAGACAAAGTCGACTCAGATTCGACCAGAACTAACATCGTAACATATTGCTCCGTGGAGAAACTTGCGAGCACATCGTGTCGACGTCGTGGTCTACATTGGGGCTGCACGCTGGCTTACAGCGGAGTAACTGTCGGGTCTGGTGCGCTCGGATTTATCGTCACGACATTATTTTTATATCGCTTTGACAGTTTGTAAAATTATGTGATTTGTTCGTTCACAGCTCTGCACTATACCTGACTATATTTATATAGTAGTCATCGAAAAGTGTAAAGTAGTTTGCATGCACATTTTGTTATTATCGCAAGAATAAAATTTCGTTTTAGAGCATTGTTTTATCCTTCTGAATTCTATGATAAATGATTGTTAAAATAAGGTATAAATCGTGTGTGATAAATGGTTACATTGTTATTTTTACAGAGAAATAATTCTGTTTAATTGAAAATATGTTTTTATACTGTAGTTATAAAACAAAAAAGTAATTTTTTGTTTGCATGATGTAAATTTGTTTATATCAGATAAAAATAACTTGAAATATTTTCATAGAAAGGGTTGTATAACCATCAATCTCAATTTGTAACAAAAAAAGGAAATTGCAACGGATGCTTAGGCCTAAATCATTTTTCATTCCGAAAACGTTTAATAGTTTTCTTTAGATTTTTGCAACGTACGTTCGGGTCGAGTTTAATATATTACTTCCTGTTTTTGCAAGCTGTTTCCCCGCAAGGAATTTACCATCTACCGTCCGCATCCTGCATATTGTAACAGTTACAAACAGTTCCAAAACAAAACACCATTAACTAATCTTTGATAAGCTGCGCTGTCACTTTTACCGCTCATTTATAATTGAAACTCTACCTAATCGTGTGGTGGTTTTAGGGTCGCTTATTTCAATAGGACATCTTGTAGGATATATGGATGCTTTGAAGAGTAGCCAACCAAGGGTGTTACTTTGTTTGTACCGTCTTTGCTTGAATATTAACTCCTCTCGAGTGGTGGTGGTGTAAGTTGTATTGAACTGTTGCATTTTAGTTCACTAGTGTTTAACAATCCCCTTTGGTAGCAACATCTTACAAACGCTTCGAAAGGAACTACGGCTTGTTGAGTATTCTAAGCGTACTTCCAACAACACATGTAAGAAACATACAAGGTGTTTAATTTTAATTTATATGTCATGTTCTTGTTTAAATGAAATTTGTTTAGATAAATCTTCGTCTATGTGGATTTAGTTTTTTATCAGCCTCGCCCACGCTGAGGCAATATCTACTTGCGTGTAATTTAACCGGAAACTATTGTATCCTATTAAAACTAACTACCTGAAACGAGCGCAAGGATAACTTCTAAGCCGCCAGCCGCTAATAACGCCCTAAAGGTATGCATGCCTGCACATTCATTCCCTGCCGCCCGTCCTCCGACGTCTAGTAAGTGTAGCGCTTGGAACATGAAGCTCTGGGATGAACTCGCCGCCTCCTCCTGGATGTCCTGGGTGTACACGCTTGTACATGCTTCAGTACATTCGTATAATTTTCCACTTGATGTTGGCTCAGCCCGACGCTGCCGATTTGCCGGCGCGGTATTTATACGAGAGGAATGAAGTTAAAATCTGCGCTAGTCTAGCGTGAATATTATTTTAATGCGTCTTTGCGCATTGTTGTGGCTAATTGCTGTCTAACAATGTGTGTCGTCACACCGCACTACCAATTGAACTAAAAACATTTATTTTGTTTTCTGTTTTGGTTCGGAGTTGTTTACTTGCAGTGTGTGTGAACTTTGTTATTTGGTTCTGAATCAGTGCATTCTCGAATCGAATTAATACGATTCCCGTATATGCTTGACTGATGTGCGGTTGATCTCTTCCCCAGAGCGGGTTTAGTAAGAGTTGGCGATGCGAACTACCCGAGTATCAACGATTGTAACGGAAGGGCGTTAAAGCACCCCATTAGCCGATTAAGCGACTTGATCACTTTAATCCGCAGCTCCACCTTTTCCTTTTGTGTCTTGCCATCGGCGTTAGCTATACATTTACACGTGGCGCATCTGATAATTACGATTATGTAGAGAAACACAAGTTTTAGTCAGGTAACTAAGGTTTATCATTAAATAAACACAACATGTGCATGAATTTCCAAAATTTTAATTTATAATCCAAAAACACGTAAAAACGTAATCCATTTTCGAAATTACTATTCGTCCCAAGAAACAATCAAATTAACTAGTTATACAGTTATGTGTTGCTCACGACATAATTTAATAATTTAATTTAAATTCCAACTAGCAATAATCTACTAAACTACAGAGATTCATAAATATCAGCTATAATTCTCACATATTCAACGCTGTGACTATTTAATTAATTAGTTTTTAACTTTTGGAATTATTGCTGCGTCGTTTGTGCTAGATGGGTAAGCATTCGAGCTGCTCTCACTAGTGAAATGCACGATTAGTTGAAAAGTTCCACTTTTACAACGTTAAATAATTAATGTTCTTCCCGTCTGTTGATTTGCTTTCCGCTGAAATTGCGAAATCACATAGTTATAATTACATGAAAAGGTTTCGTTGAAGCACTAAACTCGCTTAATATAATTTAACATTTACTAAATGCAAAACTAAATAGTTCTGTGGAAAATTTTATTTTATTTTATTATCCGCCCACAATAATTGTATTTTATATATGAATAAATTTAAATATTTGAATATATACTTAAATTAGATTTTCTTTTCAACACAAGTCAGGTCGATAAGCAACTGACACCGCCTGACGTGCAGTAGCCACCGGAGAAACCAAACCGACGTTCCCAAAATAGAGAAAGAGAAATTGTAATTGTAATTGTAATTGTAATGTAATTATGGAAACCTGCAAGTGGACTCCTAGATTGCTGGACGACTCAGGCACGACTGAACGTAGCATGGCGCGCCGACCCGCAAAAAAGGGTGGGGGTATGCGTGCCGCCAAGAGAAAGTAGTAGTCAGCGACAGTGCTTGTTGATACTACCTGGATAAACTGGCGTTAGAGGGGTGGGGGGAGGTTAGCAGGACTACCTACTCTCTCGTCATCCTAGAATTACCATGGGGTTGTAAGGGATCCCTAGTATTTTTATAAATTTTCTCTAACGTAGAAAAAGCAAAGAAAAATTTTTCTTTGCTAGCAGGAGAAAAAGTTCTTTACACAGACATTTTCTTATGATTTTAAAAGAGTTAGACACTGTTTTTGGTTCTCGCCGTCTCCTGACAACCAACGACCTCTCGATAATACATTGTTGGACAGAATGTACACCAGCCGAAAGTGCTTGAATTAATGTAGATAAACACACCACGGGTTTTATATGCGAGGGGCGGTTACACGCTCGTAAACTTCTCTTTTTGGTTGGACTCGTTCAAAGTGCACATCTTTACTGTCACTCAACTTCAATTTCAGATACAAAGTGTTATCAAAGTACTAAAAAATTTGCAAGGTTTATCTCAGTGCAAGAATTTATATTATTTATTAAAAAATATAGTTAAAGATAGATAAATATTAATTTTTAACTTATTTTGTTTTCCTGCTATTGTAGCTAACTTGATTCTTGAGGTTGCTTTATGGTTTTCGCCAGTTTGTGTTTGGTAAGGTTACGCCATGCAAGGCCAAACAGGCCTACACCAAGCCCTTGCCGGTTGAGTTCGTGCGCCTCGCTGCTTACACTCTTCCGGCAGTCGTAAAACAGGAGACAATGTTATATTTTGATATTCGCTCTAGTTTATGCACGACGCTGCTAATAAATATCCGCGCGCTCGCGCTAAACAAGCAACGCGCCCGCTAAATGAAATTCTATTAGCAAACCGAACATTAAATTTCCTCCTCAAACACTCACATTCGCGACACGGCGAAAATTCCATAAAGTTTACGACACTTTGTTGCCGATCTATTTATGCCGTACATTAAAAGTTTAACATTATACTTACTGCAGCATCAACAATAGGGCGAAGAAGAGAAGCAACTTTTGGATAACAGATAACGGAAATGATGATTAATACTATCGCTTGCGTTAATTCACTTACTTGCTTCGCCAAGTTGTCCTTAAACGTATTTGTTTAATTTGTTTTAGTTTTAGCGAAACGTTCAAAGACCTTGCCACTTCTTCCAGGATTTTTCTATTTGTTTCGTTTGGACAACCGCTGTCTCCACTGGCTGTTTAGTCCAAGTCGGCGGAACCGGACGGAAGGAAGCAATTTGTTATAGAGAAATAAGTAATGTGTTTGGCAGCAATGTGCGTGCGTGTCGGATCGCAGATAAAGAAACTATAAGCGCAACAATGGAGTGCAAATAAAGAGGATGCCAAAAACGTTGTGATGATAGAGTGGATGGGTGGATAACGCAGCGTGGGAAATGGCGCAAGCCGATGAGACGTTCTCCCCCTAGATATTAATAGTAATTTGCGTGCGGATTCATTGTTTTGGCATGATTTTAGGCAAAGAATCTGTTCGACGTTCATTCCAAATGGATTCGGGTGAGATTTATTGAGCGGCCTATGCCAGCAACAGTCTTTAATTTTGATTCTAGCACTTAAAACTATTCCAGCACTTTGATAACGATGTCAAGGAAGAAAAAAAAAAACACGAAAAACTTTAAAAGCTGTTATAACTTATTATATAATAAGCATAAAAAGTTTGTTTTGATTGACTCCAGAGTATTAATATGCAATGTCTGTTTTTCGTCGATAATGCAGGCCACTAAGTCACGGACTCAAATTTTTTCGATATAATCTTTTGCTCTCATTATGATGCAGCGGATGATCTCAGTCTATTTGTTGTCTAGACTAGATCCAGTAACTTTTTATCAAAATGCGACGGTAGATATCGGCCAAACACGTAGAAAAAGTGCAAACCGAACGTAATGGACAGAATAATTTGCCATAATTTGCTATAAATATGGAAACAAATTCCAGGCATTGCTGTTTTTATTACATAAATTTAGAGAAAGTTTTAATCTGACGCATGTTTTGATTATAAACGTCAATCAATTTTTAAAAAACATTTTTTTACATTTTATCTTACAATGAGTGCTAATAATCTAAAAAATAAAGGCAACGTAAAGAAAAAAGACATGAAACCAAAACCAGCTGAAAAGAGACAAAGGAAACAAGAAGATTGGGTGTTGACGCTTGAAAATGAAGCACTTGCAGCCCAACCAGCTGATTATACATACCAAAAACTTGCAGAATGTACTACAATGCGACCGGAAAATGCACGGATGAATCGACTTGGACTTTTGGAAAAAGGGCCGAATTTACGTTTGATTTCGCGAAGTCTTTGGCTCAATAATAATAGAATCGCCAGTTTAAGAAATATACATGATTTTGTAAATAATACCTTGGAATTTCCAGAATTGCTGGGATTTCTTGATGTTTCCTGCAATGAACTGACTGAAATCCACAACGACTTATTTCGTTTTCCAAATATTACAGTTCTTTACCTGCACGGCAATAAACTATCCGAACCTAAGGATATTTTTGCTCTGCGCAAGCTGAAAAAACTGCAGCATTTGACAATTTATGCAAACCCATGGTGCGAACGCACCGAGTTGGGTAACATGCGCCAATTAGTGGCCTCTTATCTGCCAAGATTAAACAAGTTGGATCATAATCGCTTCACACGTTTAGAACGTGACGCACCGTTATCAACGCATGCTTTGAAAATTTTAAGAGAACTCACGGGAATGCCAGAGGATTGGTTGTTTAAAAAGTTTCCAAAACCAAAGTTGACGCCTGAAATTGAAGAATATTGCAATTTGAAAAAAGCATCTAAAGGAAGTGCTGAAGAAGATAACGAAACGAAAAACTGAATTTAAAAAGAATTTAGAAAAATTGTAAAAAATAAACTTTTGGAAAAACTAGAAGATAAAGATAAACTTGTTGACCACTGTCGTAATATTTTTATCGCTTTGCGTTTTTTGCTTCCAAATTTTTTCACACAGCATAAAAGCATTAAGACTACATAAAGGGAAAAAATGTTATAAGGAAGCAGTGAGTAAGCGAGAAAAGCGAGAAGGTTAAAAGCTATTTCCGTCAACGCGCCGCCCAGAAAAAATAACGGACGGCCCGCACGAGAAATCGACAGGAAAACGAGCTAGCGACTAAGAACAAAACAACTACCACGCATAAATAAAAAAAATACACTTTAACAAAGAAGCGCACAAAACAACGATGCTAAATGCTAAAATATAAAACAAAAACCGGAACGAAAAGTCAAGTGTGCGCACTTAAGGCTCTTTCAGCCTGAAGTATACTCATAAAACATCACTATTTTCATCCTCGGCAAAATAAAATACCATAATTTGTTTCTATCAGACAAAATTTCCGCGTTCAAAATGCGCACGAATGCAATTTCCAGGTGCAATCTATTCGTGAGGATGATTAATGTGTTTGACAATTTGTTTATTTGTATGAAGTAAACTTTACATCCACGCTAAAAGACATTTTACAAGCGATACTCTCATAAAACTTTCCACACACACTCGTAAATCACATCAATCCGCAATTTGTACTTCTTGCAACTTGCGCTGCGGCTTACAGGCGCATTAACTTCATGTTATGCTTATCATGTTTATGCTCCAGTTTTATTTCTCTACGAAACGTCGATATGCTCCTTGATCCGCTCTGTTTATGAGATTTGGGTACTTTTTCGAACTCTCGATGACACTTTGTTCGAGTTTTCCGAGCGTAAAGTGTTTAAACAAACAAAAGCAAATCGTATTAGGTTCCCGTATCATGAATTACGATTACGATTACGTACACTTCACCAGGATATTCTAAGAATACCGCTGTTACTGCATTTTGAAAGTTAATATAAGTTATTGCAAAGAAAGAAATCTTCAAGTACCAATTTGTGATTTAAGAAAAAGTGTATGGATTGTTCTTCAAGTAAACTGGAAATGCAGGCAATTTATTAATGCTGTAATGGAAATTATTTCAGAACTAAGAAATAAAAGATTTTGATGCATTATTCATTGAACGGCTTGATAGGTTTGACCCTTCTTAATATCACATTATGTAAATAATCGAATAATAGTTTAAGTATGCGTCTGGCTGGCAGGACGAAGGATAAACAGTTTAATTGAAATTTAGGTTAAACCTAGTCGGCTGGCAAACACACGCAGGGATGAAGTGCGTAAACTTTGCACCGCTTCGCGCCGCCGCCGACGACAATATCTGAAATCTAATTTTCCGTCGGGGGTGTTGGAAAGCTTCTGGCCGGTTGGCATGCACCGAATTCGCGTTGGGTGTTAAGGGATATTCTATATTTCTACCTCAAGTTCTTATTATTCACGGAATTAGTCACACTGGTATTATTTTACATTTACGCTTAGTCGTTTTAAGCAATTTAAGTTGCAGCTTACATTTAAGCAAAGCGTGGGATAGATAGAAACACAAATAAGATGTAAATTTAAATAACAACACAATTTTAGAAATATTTACTGTTCAGGAATGCAATTAGTATTTGCAGATTGATTGAAATTGTAAAAATATCAAAATGCAAATAAATTCAATTTAATTGAAAAATGTTACTTCGCAATATTTATGCACAAGGTAGTCGTTAGTAGAATTTTTGTCGACGTTATGATTGATTAGAACGTGTATATTTTCAATTTAAATATATACAATGTTATTTAGTAAAAATATTGGTCTGGACTAAATAGACTCGTACCGGAAACCATCTGGGTAATGTTTTCATTTTTTATTACGAGTACACAAATCCTACTGGGCTATTTTCTGCAAAGAAAAAAGTCCCAACGCAGTGCTTACACTGCTTACATTTGCATTTGCATGTGTCAAATTGTTTTTACCATTTTCCACATTCGGATCGTGTAGTTATTCACAGTAATATTGCATCAAAGATTTTTTTTTCAAATGTGAAAGCGAATGAAAGTAAGTTTCTTTTTACTTTGGTTTTTATTAAAGAACTTTGCGGATATTTGATCAGCAAGTCAAGTAATTGAGCCATAGACTGCTGCAAAGGTTGCTAAGTCATAGGAGTAAATTTTTAACCACATCAAAACCTGGTACATTTTTTATGTTCATTCATAAAAATTACAACTTTTCAAGTACTCATGACTAGACATATCATTATAACGTTATTACGTTTTAAAATATTTCGTAGCGAATGAGCAAATTGCCATGGCCTCGACGCACGTTTGTTTTTATTTTATTAATTAACTTTGGTTCAAAGGGAATTTTTTTTGTTCCATACCTACTTTTGTTTTGCTAGATTTTTTAGGTGTTATAAATACAGCTCGCAAAGAGAATGGTAACGAAGTGCGAGCGGTTCTAACCCTATCCAGGTTTATAAAAAATTAAAACCTGGCCCAACGTTAAAAACTGCGAAAAAAAACTAGCAGAACGCCTTCCTTTCGAAAAGTTTTTAGTGCAAAACCGCAGCCCGTGCTACTTTGATGTGGAAAAATAATCTTAGAAAAAATATCACAAAAAATCAAATTACTAAAGCGGCGGCATTGGAAGTTGGTTGAGCTTTGGCTTAAAACTTGCACTTTATAATTAACCTACACGCATAATTAATTGGTTCGCCAAAAGTTGACTTTTAAAAGTTTAGAAAAGCTGCTTTATGGCTTTTTTCGCTTCAACTTGTCGATTTGTGAAGTGGAATTTGCGTTTAAATTTCATAGCATATTGATGTGTCATAGTATCTAATAAAATTAATCGTCTTCTTGATTGGATTCCACAGCAATAAATACAAGACATCGGTTTATTGTAATACAAGTTGAAATAATGTATCATTCCGTATGTGAAGGCGTTGATGGACCCGTTACAAATCCAGGACGACACAGTTAAACATCTTCAGCATGCGTGCATGTCTGTTTCTTGCAGGCGAAGGATCAAGGCAAGTCAGTCACAAAGACTAAGCGAAGAAAATCGTCGAAATCCTGCAATTAATTTTACTACTCAGCAAATACTAGCGGACGCAATTAATCATTTACGTTGCTGGCAGTAGAAGACGACTGCTTTACTTGCCTATCCCTTGATACTAGTGTGGCAAGCAATGTGAAAATGCCGAGTGTGAGCAAGCACAGAACGGATACAATAGCGAGGGCCTTTTGTGATTGAACCTGAAACAACCCGGAGTGATCGTGGCCGAGGCCAGCGCAAAGATTGCGCTTTGCATTATTCACCGCTCACAACGAGACATTTCGGCACATGATTGTTCAAAAGGAATAAATGTGACGCTCGATAGTTGATAACATTCAGCGGACGGATTAAGATACTTTGAGTTTTTTTCTTCATACTGCTGCGCAATGAATTCGTGCCAGAAAAGTAGTGATTGATGAGTGAATTATGAATTGCAGAAAAAAATAACGGACGTTTTTATTAAGGACGTGAGCGGAATTTGATGCGATTTGGGATTTACGCAAATGTTTGTAAATATAAATACAACATCGTACAATGGGTTGATTTATTACTTATGATAATAAACAACATTTCAAGAATATAAATAAATAAAAACATTTGTTAGAAAATAAATATTTTTGTCATGCTTTTGTATACAAGACATTTTATCAAATTATTTTCGTAGGATACGTTGTATTAATGATAATTGGACAAGAAGCAATTAATTAATGTAAATTGTTGTTTTTACATGACAACATATTTCAATTTTCATCGTTTAGTGTGAGTACGAGGTTGGGATAATCACAAAAAGTGCTTCATTGACGATGCTCTTACCTTGAAGCTTTGTATGCGAATATAATTGATATACTCAAAGATGAAACATTGTTGTCTTCATTTTTTATGTTATGCGTATTCATATTATATCATAAAATATAATAATAGTGAGAATGTTCATATTCAGGCTAAATATAAAAAGGTTCTCGTGAATGTACGAAGAAACCATTAGCAAGAGAAATACATTGCTAATTAGAGATTAATGATTGCCGCTTTGTTACTCTGATATCTTTTATTGAGCTACATACGTGTCGAGCAAATTGAAGTGAATAATTACCAACATTTTGCTATATACTTTTTATTATTTCTTTTAAAAGTATGATTCTTTTGTTATTTCAACATTCAATAATGAGACGGCTTACACTTAAATTTTATGTTTTAAAGTCTAGACAGAATTTTTCTTAATAAATTTGAAGACCTAGTCATTAGTTACGGATAAAGTATGAGAATAGTATTCACTTCAAGCACTGAATTATTTTCTACATTTTGACATGATGCCCTGTTTGCATGTTTCCTTCCATATGAAATGACATTGTATTCCAGCTTTCTACAAAATGGAAATTTACGACCTGCCGGGTGTAATGAATCGCATCACCGAAGCCACCGCTCGGTAATAAATTATATCGGACATTCGATAGGCCCGACATATTCACATTATCCACCAACAACAAACAGTACAAAATGTAAAACGTCCACAATGTTTGTGTTTGAGTTTGCGTGTGAATTTCCATACTGTGCTACAACCAATTTTCTTCGACCATTACCACCCACACATCTAGGAGCTTTCTCGAACCATTTCCTTCCATTCCCATAATCGCACAAGACCCGCGCAGGCATCATCAAAAGCAAATTTGCAGCCGATGCGGGAACAGTTCAGTTACCTGTTGAAATATTTCCACGCCGGGCAGGATCGTTCCAACAGTGATTCCGAATGGTGCCCAAATGCAATTTGAGACATCCATGTGCAGTGAAAATGCACGCCGTAACATAACTTGTCATACCGAAACGAATCCGGAATGTAGACTACTGCTAAAATCGAAAGAGAAAAAGGAACATGAGAATCGGGAACGTGTGTAACCACGTACATATTGGAATTTCGAGCTGCTCTTTTGCAAAGAGGGTGCAAATGCGCATCCACTTCGCGTACAAGTATGGAAATGTTTGAGTAACCCATTTACTTTCTGCATTTGCAATGAAAATGCAAACGAGGGCACAGCAATGAGTGTGACTATGCCATATCCGGGTTCCTCATTTGTTTTACTATATTAACCTTTCATAATAGCATTCTTTTTGCGCATAATTTAACGAAAATTATTCCTAATATTACTTTTTATCTCTGCATATAGACACTAAATGGATTATGCGGATATTTGTTCAGCTTATCTTTGTTACGTCATCAAGTTCGGTTTAATCATCTTATCAGCACGTAGCAAATTTTTGCTAGTTTAATATTTACCTACTTTCGTGATTGCTGTAGCAATTATTCATATAGATACAAAATGTTAATTACACATTATTATAATTTCATTAAAAATATAACAAAACATTTTTTTATGTTTATAGGATTGTTATAAATTATCCAACATTTATTTCGCAATAAATTAGGTTAATTAATGTTAATTATTACTTATTAATCCATATAATATGCATTTATATAGTTTAATATTGTTCTACTTTGTTTTAGAGGTTAACAAAGGTTATATTTGACCACTGGCGCCACCTATTGTGTCTATATCTACTCATTTTTTATTTCCGTTTATATTGTGAAAAGTATGAAATTAATTTCTAAAATATGATGATTTTCAACATTTCATTTGCATCATTCGTAACTAATACCATAATGCGTGTCTACGCACAACTTTCGTTCCGTGGCTTTCCGCATATTTATAACGAGCTGCAATGTTTCGTTAATCAATCAATCTGCAATCCAAGTACGATGATTAATGCATTTCCATTTGTTGAGCAAATGTTCCTGTCCCGCATGCAAAATGCAAATGCAAATGTACATATGTGTCAAGCCCTTTTGCATTCACCCAACCGCATGGTTTCCGCAGACTCGCGTGTTATAATTATAAATTACAAATTGTAATGTTCTGTGAATAAATTCGTGTTAATGTTAATGTAAATTTACTATGTAAATCTTTTTAAATATGTAAATTATATTAACATATTTAATTTAATTTTGCGGTTAATTTGAATTTATTGATGGTGAAATCTATAATTATTCGTGCATATTGCCAAGTTCAATCAGTCTCGTCGGCGAAACCAAAACACAATCCCCAAATCGTCTCGCCCACACCCCGTGGGATCCATCCCACTTCGGAGCATCGCTTTTTCTAATCAAATCGACAATCGGCGATGGACTCGCCATCGTTTCGTTTCACTTGTTTCGTCTGCACACACACACAACACACGCATAGATTCACATTACTATCATTTCGGCGTTGCTGTGTGTTTTCCGGCCTCTATAGGCTCAACTTGGTGGAAAGAGTGGCGTGTGGGTATGCCGTGGCGCGCATGCCGTCCACCGCCACCGCTGCCGCCGCCACTGCCGCCGCCGGCTTTCCGCTCTTCGCAGATATCTCTGCGCCGGCGACATTCAGTAACGGCATCGTCGTCGATCGCCCAGCACAGCGTGCGCTTTCCACACCGCCGAATTTTCCGAGCGCCTCGCACGCTCGCTCACTGTTTGGAAAACTAATCGCGCTAATAGTTCTCGACGAGCGCGTTCACCTGTCTAGAACGTCCGCACGCGTTGGCATGGGAAGTTGCGCTCGTTCAACCAAGTTTCTTCCGACACGCCAAAAAATACGAAAATAAAAATCACACACCTGCAACCTGCGCGCTGCGGCGAGGTGGTTGAACGCCAAAACCGCACAGCTTCTACTGAAACGTTAACAACAACAAAAACAAATATAGAACTATTGAAAAGTTTCAACTTGCACGAACTCTAATCACCACTATCGTCTCACCACAGCAGAAAAGAAAAAGTGTTTGTGCACATTGTAAAAATCTAGGTGAGTCTCATCCAAATATTTTAACTTAAATATAATTAGCAAGACTAAAAATATTAAAATTTAAGTTAAAAAAAGCAAAGTCAGATTTTTTATGTTACTTATCGATTTCACAAGTTTTATGTTTACTCGTGTCAGCTTCGTCCGTCGACAACGCGTTACTGTCGCTCACTATAAGTGTCTTCAGCGAAACTTACATAGTTAGAAACATAAATTTCTATTATCGTTGAGCGCCGAATGCGCGCGATGCGGCAAACGCCGTGTGCTCGAGTCGAGAATTTGTGGCGAGCGTTCAAGTCGACTTCAGTTTAGACCGCTTGAAGAGTTGAGTGTTACGTGTACGTTCTAAGTTTCTTTAAGATGGGAGACTCCTCTGTGGAAAGTCTGGCGAGTGTAATGTCGTTAAGACGAGAAAAATGTAGTAGGAGTTGTCGAGGATTCATGGTTCAAGAACTCTCTCATACGTTGATGCAATGAAAACATGTGAAAAATTGTATGAAGTCTAATAGTAGCAAAACACTACCACTTTTTTTATAAAATTTAATTACCTAGCTAAAAAAACTACCAGGAAAAAAATCAAAGAAATATTCTTAAAATATTTGACACTTAAATTTAGTATTTGGTGCTCTAAATGATTTTTGGTTTTAATTACCAACATTTCTAAGTAAACTATATTTCTATAAATACTATCTTCTAGAGTATGCGTCAAGAATCCTAATAGAAAAAATATCTATGGAAATGGAAATGCTCCGGCAAGCATATCAATCAGAAAGTCTTTTTGTAGTTGTAATAGCAATACTCACTGCGGTGGCATGTGACAAATCGGAAAGTTATGCGATGAAAATCGAGCGAACGGAACGTTGACTCCTTGCCTTCACCATAAGGTTGAAAGACGCAAGAGAAGGCAAGCAAATACTCGGCGGGGGCTAATAGAACGTCAAATGATTCAATTACTCTCTTGCCGAAGGAGCAAGGAAGGCCATGGTCGCCGTAGTGCGTTTGCCTTTTCCGTGCCGTTTCGTACCGCTGCCTCCGCGCTATTGAGTGAAAGAAGATTTACTAACTTCGTAGCGGTGGCTGTAGGCTGACACAACGCACGCTAGGAAAACGTAATGGCAGCGGGTAACTTGGAACAGTGTCTAACAATTCGACACATTTGACGATTTAACATCCACGCCTGCGTTTGATCTGCTACGTTTCCACCCAAATTGTATTCATTATCTTCAAATAAATGAAGCAGAAACAAATTTGTTTCAATTTCGATTAGATTTGTTTTGATATGGAATCAACATGTCTATTTTCTGCTGACTGCATCGTCATAGATAGCAGAAAACACACGGCAACAAAATAGAGAAGTAATCAAGCACGGCATGCGTAGATAACACGAATTTATTGAATCGCTTAGCACTCGATGCATTTATCGGTGAGTTATTGGCATGCGGATAATCTGCGCGCACTAAATTTATTCCGTTATCCGAGGAGCGCTCCGTTTCATCCTCGAGTTACTTCAACTTACGTTACGCATTATATTACATAATGTAGCGCTTCACATTCGCATTTATATGCGCCCGCGAACGCAATGGGAAAGGATTTAGTGGCGATATTTCAAAAACTGGTGCAAAGTAGACAGGCGCGAGCAAAAAGACGCAGCATTTACGTGCAGCGTGCAAGTGACGGAAATATTGGACATTTTTGGGAGTCGAATCTAGCGTTGCATTTTTGCGGTTTGGGGGATGGAGAAACGTGATATATATTTAAATTTTATTATCGGTTTTGTGAGAAAATACACACGTACGTTTATGACATTTATGGATTGATTTTGTGCACAGAATATTTGAATATTTTATAAAATATTCTAAAATAACTCCTAGCGCCCTCTTGCAGGATAAAATTTAAATATTTGTTACTCTAACCTCACAAATTAACAATTTTAGGGTTACCAATGTGGTTTTATGGTTGCCTACCTTATTTTAATGTTGCGTGTTCAAGAATCATCAATTTCTTTCTTTTTAGTTTAGAAAATAATGCAAAAATAGCGATTTTTCTTAAAAAATTGAAAAAATAGGTTTTTTTGCTTCCTATTCGCTTAAAAAAGCTAAAGTAATGCTGTGGCCAAAAATTACGCCGGCCGTAACGACAGACGGATGTGAATCATTTGCATAGTAACGATGGATACACATTCAGGCACTCAGATCGAAACTACAAAACATATAATAAAAAAATATATATATTTCGACCGAAATATACGAAATGCGTAAATTCTAAAATTACTTTTACAAGTTACTATGGCTGGCATAGTAAAAATATTATTATCATCATGAATGTGGCTAAAATTTTTGTTGACAGGCATAATCTTTATTGGTTTGATAAATGTCAAGGTTATAAACATAAGTAATCATTTCTTAATGAAGCATTTCTTGTACAATTGTAGCAAATATAAGATAATTAATTTTTATCGTATCTATTTTCGCCCCCCACACAACTAATTCGATTCAATCTGTCGCTGGACGCCGTGAAGATGCTGGGAGTCGAAGTCGAATGAAATTACACTTTGCTAGGCTCGACGGCATTCCATTTTCGTTTAGTTTTCCGTATTGTTTACTCGGTCATTATTCCGTCCACAATACTTCTTTCTCTGCGAGCGTTTCGTTCGTTTTTTCTTCTCTTCTTTTTTCGTCCTATTTGAGCGCGAGCGCTATGTGCGCCTGCTTTTTCATTTGCTCACAAACAGTGTCAGCTTCTCGTTGTTGTACCGGTGTCTATAGATCCTTGGCTTCATTGAGTTTTTCTCCAGACAGACATAATAAAGAAGAGGAGAAACCGCACGAGCGCAGCGCTGCCACATTATTATTGTTGCTACACCCATACGACACCATCGCCGGCAGTGAGCAAGAAAAATACAAGCACCCGAACGAAACGCTGTGAATGCGCAGAATTAGTAACTGGGCAAAAAGCACGCCGAGGCATATTCCCGTGCGTCGGGTTGAGTAACAAATGAAAATGAAAGAAATGAAGACAGTCGTTATGCGCGCGCGGGCTTTTCGGCTGTCATTCAAGCACTCGTCGGTTTGCTGCTGGGGCTGAGCTGAGGGTAAATAAGCAAAATAAACTGGCGCGGCGTTAGATTCATCTACTTATCGACAAGAAGCCGTGGTACGAATGTACGAAATGGCCAGCAATTTGGCTGTGGAAAATGGGAGGACGCACGGTCTTGAAAACAAAACTAGTCGGACGAAACAAATTGCAATCGTGATTGCAAAAAGCGTCTGCGGGCGTTTTAGTAGCAGAAGTAGAAGTTTTTCGTATGTGGCAAAATATAAATTAAGTATTTTACGGGTTTCCTCAAGTAAAATAAATGAATTTGATACAGTTCAGTTTAATTAGTATTTTGTGTGTGAATGTGTAATTGATGCAAGGGGAATTGAAATTGAGCGTTTTGGAATTGAGGTTTTGAGTTGTGTTTAGAAATTTTGGTTTGCTTGCTAATGAGCTGCCAAACTTGAATAGTATACTAATTACCGTTACGATTATTGGTATGTTATATGTGAATCGCATACTGATTTTCCATTACGAAATGCACGACGTATATATATTGTGTGTTAATTGCCCTCTGCTCTGAAATGAATTGAATAATAATGCCTGTTTGAAATGCCTATCGATTTTGCACTTGTCGAATATTCTGCTGTTTTTGTTTCGGTGTGAGAACCACGTTTTACTACCGGCAGTATAATTCAGCAAGTCCACTCTTGCCCTGACGTTTTATTTTATTTATTTTTCAATGTTTGCCTGGACTTTACTTACGCTTTTCGCTGTTTCATCGCTTGAAAATCTTTACACGAGTAGTGAGGCTGTACCGTCACGAATTTGAACCTGTATAAAATGAAACGAAGTGATTTGTTATCCGAGTTGTCCAGTGGTCGTACGACGTGTCGCAACGACCCGACTGCCGACGTGAATCCCACTAAATTCCGCCCTCAAACCGACATCTTCAGACACGCTCTTTCCTTTGCTCTTTCTCCAGCCGAGCGACATTAGAAGCACCATCTTCGTGATAGTGTGTGTCAGTGTATTGTCTGAAAACAAGCAACACGAAAAGTACTAGTCATGACGATACACTCTGGAATCTAGCTGGTAACATGGGTTGGATCAGTGCGTTTGGGGTCGATGTTCGCGTTGCGTGGCGAATGCGTGCACCCGACATGATAAACCATCGAAATGGGTCACGGTGTCACGTGCCCTCTTCGCGTGCGTTCCGAAAACATTAGTTTTGTTTGAATGGTAATATCCTTTGACATGTTTCTTTTTCCACAACAAATACCCATCACATTAACCGCCACCTTTTAAAATCTAGGTTTTACATCATAAAACTTTTATTATGTCCGTTTTCACATTTTAGTAGTTTTCAAGTGTGCAGATTTAGTTTGGTGTACAAACATGTCAGGAAAATGCAGTACAATGTCAGTTGAAAATGTTTGCAACAAATTTCACACTAGAAAAACTTCACTTTGATAGAGTACCACCAAGCATGACGACAGTTTTGCAAAAGTAGTCGTGATTTTCACATTTTCCACTCGCCGAGTCGTAAACCATCATTCGGGTACTGGGGTTCTTAGTAATAATGCAACTATGGGAGCGTGAGCATACAAAAGGGCACAGCGTTTATTCAAAACTATTCAACCCACTTCCGTGCCCTTAGACTTGGCCGGAAATCGTCGTCCCATGCTTAGTTTGCATACATAAGAATAAACGCGGCCAACTTTTCAACGCTGTTTGCCATTCATTGCAATGTTTTTTCAAGTTCACGTCATTTCCGTTTCGCTCAGCTTGCATTTTCTTCATCATGTAAGTAGGTAGTTGTGATGGCTATTTGTTCCAGTTACGTTGGGGTCGGCCAACGCCGAAAATAGAACTAGGGTGGTGTGTTTCGCCTGTAATTTAGCTTCCTTCTCGCCGGCATAAAATTTGCATTCTTTAATAACGTAAAACTTCATTCTTATCTAATATATTCTCGCACATTTCTTGCGTGTGCATTTTATTTGTTTACCGGCAGCCATTGTTCGGACAACATTTGCAAATTGAAAAATATTCCGGCATGGAAATTAAGTGAGCTTTATAACGAAAGCACAGTGAGCAAGGAATATGAGGTTTCAGTTTGAACAGTGTTTTTTTTTTGCATTTTTTATTTACACAACCTCAATATATCGCGCTTCACGACGTCCAACCTTGAAAATTTAATATCCGTTCTATGAAACAAAAATGTATGAGCGCAATAATCGTCTGCAAATTGGTTTGCACATTTTTTTACACTCAAAAAAAAAAGGAAAAGGAAAAATTAAATTGAATTGTGTCTCGATTGGTTTAGTTACGACCCAGAAATTATCATCGCTGTCAACTTTTTTCGCCAACATTTATTTTATCGTTCGGCGTCTAGTAAAAACTTTTGAGTGGTGATTTCATGGGGCAAATTTAGGTTATTGTCGAGTGACGCTCGCGACGATTTAAATACGGCCTACACACGCGCTTCCAACGAGGAAGGCAACAAAAAAACATAAAAATAAAACATAATAAAACGCTGGAATAAAGTCGCCGCCAAAGTTCGAGTGAGAAACAGTGCGGCTTGACTTCAGACATAAAAATAGTTTGATTTGCTTGTTTTGCAACGCACGTTCTTGTCAACCGAGGAAAAAATTCCGAGCGTCCCCATGCACGTAGGAAAAACATGTTTATCACGGATGCGCCCGCCATAAACCAGCTTCTTGAAGTGGCGAGGAGCACGCAGATCTGCACTTGATTTGTTTATGTATAAACTCACAAAATTATACTGCGCGCAGGCGCGGATGCATAAAATGACGTACAATATAACATAACCTAACTTAACCAAACATTTTTCGTTGCTTCTTTGTCATTTAATATGATTTTTGTAGTCTTGCTCAATTTTGGCTCACATTATTGCATTCTACAAGTTAATCTCCGTTGAAATTTTATTTTTATTCCCTGGAAAACTAGATAATGGCATTTCTTGCGCTTGCTGTCTGATCCCTGATCTTCATACAAGAGCGAAATCTTTTGTTCGACGTCTGCCAAGAGTGTTCGAGTTTTAAGGTGTCGGCATCCAACGAGAGCTAAACAAATAAACAAACAGGCAAACTGAAATAATATGAATAAATTGGATGCGAATATGCGTCAACCGAAGCATTCGGAAATGATATTTTCCGAAAAATGCAAAGCCTTTATTTATTTTTATAGCAATTTAATAAATTCTATTGAAATGTGAAATAAGATGAAAATAATGATAACATATTTATTTATTTATTGCTCTTACTTACTTTCGAGAATTCCGTTTGTATAAATATGTATCTAATGTAAATTTGAGTTTGAGCGCCAAGTGAAGAAGGAAAATGTATAAAACATGAACGCAAAGCATCGGAATGAAGCTAAATGTTGCAAAATGCTGTCGCATCTTCTTATATTAAATAGCCAATTTATTTCGTTTTTTTTTTGCGCTGCGTGCTTATGTATTCGGCGACTCATTCATCTTCGTCTTTTCTGTATACATTATGTATCTACATTTTGTCTTTGCGTATGTATTCGTTCGGCTGTGTCCTGAAGCTTGTCGAAATGACAAAGTTTGAAGGAAAATAAGGCGGCAAATTGAAAGAAATTGAATATATAAAGTAACGCTATAGGCTCGCGTGTCCTTTGCACAATGCGCGACGCCAAACAGAACGGAGAAATACACAAAAGACGTTTAGAAACTCGTTTGCAGAAATATTGCGAATTCGCTCAACAACAGCACAAAAAAACAACAAATGGGAATGAAAATGGAAAATAATATATTGTAATGGGCCATTATTAAAATCTAAACTATTTATTTCATACGTACCTACATTGTATGGCAATATTTCAGTATTTTAATATAAGATTTTTGAATTAAGAATTGTTGTTGTCAAACAGGTTCTTATCAAAAATGCAATCGTGCGAACCGCCGAATATGCCGTTGACGCTGCACGTAGTCAGTCTTGCCGTGCATAGGTTGCCGTGCGTATCGTGGCGTGCGTCTTCTTTTTAACTTTTAATTTGGTGAATTGTGTTGTGTTCCATAGACAATCCATGCCATTTAGTGGTAATTAGAGGATGCTGTGTTTGGGTAAGCGTTATATCTATTTGTTAGTTAGTTGTTTCATTATAGAAGTCGGTTTGACAATGTATTTAACAAGCATAGAGCAATCGCAGCCATGCACTCTACACCGCTCGCGACTGCTGACGCTGCACGCAGTTTTATCTGCTTTATCGCAGATTATATTTCGCGTATAACCGCTCGTCGTATTTCATACGATAGAGATGTTTGAAATCGCATTTTATGCAGTCAGGAATCAAAGTTTTTAGTTTTTAATTCCACCTTTGACGCGCATGAGCACTTCAGTCGCGGATAGAGCTTCCCAAATTTGCCACGGCGGCGCTGGCATCGCCTTTGTCTTATGAAATCATGCGCCGTCAGTCAAACCTACTTCCATGTATTTACAACCTCACATTTCCTAGTGGATGTCGAAAAAAATGTGGTGTTTATTTACACAGTCTATATTAATTGAAATAACGGGTAGTACAATCACAAGTAGGCTGTTTAAAACAAAGTAAGTTTCTTTTGTTAAATAAGCTCGCAGTTCGCGTCGAAATTAATATTAACGGTTCACTTGCTTGGGGTTGGAGCGGTCTTTGTCGTTTTTGTGTGTACATATGCTGAGCTCCTCTGGAGTCTGGCTCGTCCTTTTCTTTTCGCCAGTCACCCGTTCGCCCGACGCGAATCTGGCATGTTTCGCTTCACAGCTCCACAAATAATCACATTATTCGCGCTCGGGTAGCTTTGGTTCATATGCGTGCGCGTGAAAAATGTGCTGCCAGGTTGCGGGCTTCGAGACGTTATTAGATATTTTCAGATTTGAATCGATGCGTGCGGTCGAAATGTTCCAGACTTTGTCTCGTTCGCCAACCGATTCTAATTCATATTCCACGCGTACTCTCGGGCTGAAAATGAGATTTTAAAACATTCACATTTGTCGAGATGGAATAGCTGTTAGAGCCCACATTGATACATGAACGCCATCTATCGAATATCAGCCTACAGGGTTTTAAAATTTAAAAGTTATTTGATTTTATTTATTTATTGATATGTAAACGAAAATTAATAACCAGATATTTATTAAAATACACAAATATCTAGTCATATTAATTAAAATATATATTTTATATTTATATTTTTATTTGATATGTCTTTTTTATTTTACGCGGTAAACAAAAATAAAATTTATGGAAATATAGACAAATATATGCAGCTATAACATTTTTTTATCGAATTGAAGATACGTGCACCTGGTAGGTTTTTAACCGAAGTTTAAACGAACAAAATTCACCATCTGCAGCAACATTTCTTTTTATTGAATGAAACACATCGAATTTGCGTTCCAATTCGAGGAGCAAATTTGAACGCTCGGGAAAAATCAGCGATGCGCAAATACGAAACGAAATATTCATATATTTACTCATCGCGTTTGCAAACATGTGAATATTAGGGCGTTGGGCGTATTGAGAACCTCGGATGTAGCAACAGCTATACGAGTACGGCAAGATGGCGAAGCGGAAACCCCGAATTGTACCTACTGTCATTCAAACAGCGTATTATTTGCTGCATTTACTGAGCATTTGCACAATATTCGAATTGAACTCACAATGACGTTCAAGTGGAAATCACACTTCAAGGGGCAGAAAATACCAAGCCAAGCAAATAAATTTGAGAGAAATTAAAATTATTTGTTTCTATTTGATGTTATTTGCAGCACAGAATAAAAAATAATTAAAAATTTAAAGGTTTCGTGTTTTATAAATATTTTCGTTTTATTTTTGGGTGTAAAGTTGAACATTTCATAATTAAAACATGAATATTTGTTCGGATGCCAAATGTGAATCGAAACAAAACGTTTCGTTTTCTCCCAGATTCAAGCAGAGCTGTGAAAGCTTTTATTCTTTGTGAGAATGTTTCGCCAACCGCAATTTGCAGTTAGCAAATGTTTGCACGGATGGCTGCTCACTTTACGAGTCGCCACGAAACGAAATTCCTGCTGGACAAAATTTAAATACCAATGAGGAACATATGGAAAAATGAATTAGCATATTTTTTTAATTGTTACATTTTATATTAGTATGTTTATATAGCACAAAGCTGTATGTTAGGTATATCAGTACAAAAATTTAATTATAATGCTTTCTAAACGTCAAAAAGGCCAAGGAAGTACTTTTACATATAAATTTCTGGAAAATAAACAAAAAATATTAAAAAAAAAACACTGCAGAAAAATACAACTGCAAAGAAATCCTTAAAATCTTGACATTGTGTTTATGATGTTTTAAGATGTGCATTTGACAGAATTTCATTTTCTTTTCACGTGGAGATTGAATACGTACCAATTCACAAATTCTGCAGCGTACATAAGGTACGAATTTCATTGCGTTGAGATATATTCACAAGCTTGTCGTGCAAAAGTCGAACTTTTTGTTGCTTTTTGATCAGCTCTGCTACACAGCATTGAGCTACACAGGCGTGTAATAACTTTTCATCGGATTGCGTTGTCGGGCTGTCGGAATAGTAAAAAAATCTTTTATGTGTTACATAGTGGTGATAGATGGTGTGTTATAATCAGTTCAAAGTTACGCGCTACTGAAAAAACGCAGAAATAGAACGAATAAATAAAAGTTTTTATTATATTAGAACGAAATAATTATGTAACAATGTAAAAAATTATATCTATGCATTCAAAAACAGGCAGCTGTATGTTATCTGCAGCAAATTGCGGATATCATGTATCTCACAATATCTTTTCCGATTTCCGGTTATTTATTGCCAATAATTTCTGTTTTAGATTCAATACGCAACGAAGAGTACATCAATTTCGACCAGTCTGCTTCCAGCATACGTACCGGGGAAAAAATCCACATCCATTCGATAGAAAGAGAGGTAGGTCAGTATTTCTTTCGTTTCTCATATTCTGCTTCATTCAACCCGGTTCATTCGATTTACTCGCCCGAAATTGGCAAATAAAATTATTCTAACTGTACTATTATTTGCCTTTCGTTACTATTGGCAAAAATTATCATAATTGTGTTTATTTGTTGTTTATCAGAATAATTCGTTAGATTTATTTCAAAATAAATATTACGTGCATGATTTATATTCACGTAAATTTTGCTGAAACTAAATCTTTCTGTTTGGTATCATTTGTCGAAATGATTTCGTGTTATGTTGTTATATTTGTTGCGAAATTTGCGACATTGATATCGGACAGTGTTGATGATGGAATTATTCTATAACTCCATTTCGTATTGAAATTGCATGCAACGCCTACGTATATTTGCTTTCATAGATGGATCAAATCAAGCAGGTGCCCGGCGCAGTCGCCATTGCACAATGCGTCATTCGAACTGATTTATTTTGTCAACAAGTTTCTGTACTAGGGTTCTTTGTATGTAGCATATTGCAAATTATCAAAACTATGAAGAGTTGTTAAAATTTTCATCTCCAACAGACTTGAAAATTTACAGTTAAATGTAAAATTATTTTTTATTGTTTAATGTTGGTGTAAATATTCCGAACATGGTTGATTTTATTTATTATTCCACTAGCAGAAAGCTTAAAATATGTTTAAAACACTTAGTATAAATTACGTGTTAGATCTTTGCATAGAACTTGATTAAATTTGACATCTTTACGAGCGTAGGATGTCCCATATACATGTCAACAAACACCAAATTATGTATCGATAACAAGGTAATAAGCTTGATGTGGCACTCGAAAAGAGTCAGAAATACAAGCTGGACGGGCGCCTACGACTCACACGCCCGCAAACATAGAAACAGAAACTTGGAAATGTTGGAAGATTGAAAGCCACGTAACCTAGCAGGACGCATAAAGTCGACGCCGTCACTGCAGACGCGTAGACGAGATATAGCCGTAGAGATAAAAAAAAACACTTCTAGGAGTTCTCTAAGAGTAAAAGCGAGATGATGCACGCGCAGTGTGTCGCTATAATATATAAGAGATTTTCGTGAAAAACATCAAAAGACTTATTGCTTATGACGTGTCGGCGGCTTTGGATCACATACACATAGTAATCCATGTGATGCACATAATCTTACTGAGGGTTTAGATTTTGACACGGATATTAAATTACTTTAATATTTAGTTTTGTTTTAATTTGGATCTTAAAATTTTCCGCATCTTTGGCGTTGTTTTTCTTAGTTAGCGTTGACGTTGTGCCTTCTGTCGTACGTTGTTGGCGAACTTATTAAAAGCGTCGACTGCCTTCGAAGCTACAAGCGAACACTCGCCTTGGCTGATTACCTCGCTCAGTTGTTGTTGTTGTTCACGTTGTTGATTCATTACTTAAAATTAATTAAAACTGAATACATGTCAGCAGCACAACGAGCAAAATGATTAAGTTTATCAGAATAACTGCTCAGATGGAAATTGCATTTTTCTTTGCGCCTCACGTTGGAATTTTCATTAAAATAATATGTCTTTATTGTCTACGCCATAAAATCATATTTTATTAGTATTAAAATTCTATTTTAATGCATGTTCAGCAATTACATTAAACCTAAACGATTTTGTTTCACGGTACTCTCGGGGAAAATCTGCTTATTGTCCGAGTTGGTATTTGTGTTGAAATTGAAGAGATATAACTGCACAGAAGTTAATAATAATAACAATAATGTTATGGGCGTTTGCGAATGCGATGTGCGGATGATGCGTGTCGCGATTACTTTTTTCTCGTCTTCTGTGCTCCGACAGCGCGTGTGCGAAATAGAGATTGTGCTAGCAGCGATTCCATTTTCCGAGGTTGTTGATCCACTTATCGCGGAAAATGCGCTTACACTGTGAACAAAAAAATAAATAAAAACATACGTTTATAATGATTCATTTCCTGAAAAAGTAACACTAAAATAAATGTGTTATTTAACTAATTATTTTTCATTAGTGAAAGAAAAATATTATTTTGAGGGTGAAAATTATTAAATCGATAGAGTAAGAAAATGGCAGTGAAAGAACATTCTCTTCCGCGTATTAGACACGATCCTGTAAAACTGAAACGATATGAAAAGCGCTGCAGCACAGGACGTTGAAAGGACACTGCCATCGTCATTCGCTCATGAGTCACTCTAATGGAACTCGGACAAAGTGGCAGCACCGGAAAACGGCGGAACGATGACTGAATTCCGCAGGATGGTGCAAAGCTGGCGCGTTAAGATTCAGGTGCAAAACGAACAAGACGAGAAAATATCGTCTTTGTGAGGAAAGACGTTTTATGCATGCAGACACAAAAAAACCGCAAAACCCACAATGTACTAAATAGACATTATAGCATCATATCTGCAGAAAATGCTCAAGATGAAGATTCTGAAAAACGTACGCAGCTCGTTTGCGCAATGTCTAAATGAAAATTCCTAGCGTGCGTTAAATTTCAGTAGGTAAATACTTTATCTTTGTGGTTTTTGTACTCGGTTGCGTTATGAAATTGCGAAAAAAAAACTCAAAATGACAAAATAGTGCAGATTCCATTCGAACATACCAAGCAACGTTTGAAATTTTAGTTTTTACTGGAAAATAAACACGAAAACAAATTTGAAAAGAGTTACGACTGAAAAACCAACAACGCTTTAAACATAATGCGAAAGAAAAATCTAAAACTATGTGGCATCCGGTACAATGTCGATAAAACATAAAGAAAATCTGTGCGCATAAAAATAACCGGCTGGAGAGCGAGCAGATTGATCACGTTTGCAAAAATATACACGCACACAGAAACGCAAAATATGCGAAAATGAAAACAAAATCGCTGCGTAACTTTCGGGCGCAACAATGGCAAAAGAAAACACAAAGAAAATGGAATGTTTTTTCCGAAGGAAATGTTTATAATAAAACCACAAGGTCTTGTTTTGTTGAAGTTTTTGAAATGTTCATGTAGAAAGTGATCTTTTGTGGTCCCAGGAGAGATTTTTGCAAGATAATAACATTTTTGTTGATAAATATTACATAGTTGACTATTATTTTTGATTAAAAAGTAAATCATGAAAATATCCACACATTATTGACGTTTACTTCCGGTCGGATGTTGAAACTTGTTACTTTTATGATTACAACGCAACGCATATTGCAGTGTATAGGGCAAATGTGAACGAAAAACTATTGCGAGTATGTTTACGACTATTAATACCACCATATACTGAGGGTGTGTGTTGTGTGCTATTTTCAGCCATCGATTAATATTTTAATCCGTTTGTGGGCAATCTAGTGATACTGGAATAACTAGGTAATTAGTTTTAAAATAACAAATTTATACCAGTCGGTTTTAATTTTACGCCAGTAAAATCTATCTATATATACTACATTTTCCACTTGTGGCTGTGGCAACTGTATATTTTCCTGCGCGGATGAGCGAGCAGTGAACAGTTTCATTAATATCTCATCATGCCCGCCGGGCACTGTCATAGATCATTTGGCGTCACGTCGCAAATTGATATTTTTCGTCGCAATACTTCCGCGAATCATTGCTACTCACAATTATTTTCCGCATTTATGTAATATTATCCTAGATTTTATACGGTTACTAATATTTCTGTAACCTTTCAACGCATATAATGAAAATGTGAATGTGAAACGAAAGGAAACTACGTGAAGCGTTTTTATCGTTCCGTTAGGAGCGATAAAAAATCCCTTGTAGGCAAAGAATTAATTTCTATCTGCTGTTTATTACAGCGGAGTAGAATTGGCGTTGTGCATGGAGCGAAAGTTTGCCATATATTATAACGATGTTCTATTTTTTTCAACACACGTTACTTTTATGTCGTGCTTCGCGTAAAAAAAGCTAAAAGACGCGGACGAGCGGAAAGTTGAAGATGCTAAATGATCAAAAGCGTCGAAGCAGAACACAATAGCAAACAGAATAGCTTCTTTGGCTGTAACATCAGAGAGTAACGTGCTTCGCTGAAAAGGCCAGCAGAAGCACACCGCCATCTTGTTGAAATATATTGCCAAATATAGTCATATTGTGCGCTTGCTCAGCGGACGCGTATAGTTTCTATCTATTAGAAGCTGTTTATTACATCTTGGCTCATAAAATTCTTAATGAAATCTCTTGTTTAAACGTCGGAGCACCACAGGAATTCCAAGCGTCTTCAAAGTTTCTGATTATATTTACACACCTGAGATAAAAAAAATGCATTTTAATTGAAAATCCATTTATTTATTATTTTTGCGTATAGTGTTAATCAAAAACAAATTAGTTTAATAACACAGGATCACGAGCAACATCAACATATGATATTAATTAAAACCATATTGCATCTATTAATAGACGAGTATGAATAAAGTAGACAATCAGCGATTACGCTTGTGGTTTAGGTAATCAATATTACGCTAATTTATTAATATTGTATACACGGCTTGCGTCAGAGGATGCGATGCAAAAGAGTATTATAGTTTTCAGTTTTGCCTAAACCAGATTAATATTGGCGGCTGATTTAGCTGCGCAATTGTGCACTCGATTTATTGCAGCTTATTGTAAGTGAAGGATTTATGGAATATACACTTAGATTTGTTCAAATGATAAAGTTGCGTAAAACATTTGTGCAACGCATAAATCATTTAACAAATGCAGTTTTTAGGCCCCGGAATTTATGATTTACCTCTAAAAACAGTTTTTTGTTTATAAAACTTATGCTTTAATATAAACAATGACGCAAGTAATAAAATATTGTAAAGAAACATAATGAAAACTGTAAATCAAGAAATGTTTACAATCTCGGGACGTATTTACTTGTTTGCTTCGAAAAGATTTACAGCTTATTTCGCAGGACATTGCCGAAGCAATTAAATCCGGCGTTTTATAAAGTACCTACGTTCCTTCACCTGTTTCTGATCAATTTAGCCAATAAGGAAACCTGTTACGTGCTATAAATTCCA